GAAGTCGATCAGCCGCATGTTCACGTACTTCTTCCCGCCCTGCTTCCCACCCTCCTCTGGCCGCTTCTGACGTTTCTGGTATGGGGGCGGGCGAGACGACCCAGCCTGTGCAGAAGGCGTGTCGAGAGACGGGAGTTCGTCCATCTTGTCCTGGTCGCCGTCTTGCTTCAGCTTGTCGTCGTGGGTGACGCCGACGGGCGGTGCCTGGGTGTACTTCATCTTGCCGCGTTCGGCGACAACTGCAATGGTGACCCAGTCACCCGACACGGGGACGTCGTAACCCTGCTTGTTTGGGAGCAGGCGGACGACTGAGTATAGCTTGGAAGGCGATAGATAGTACCGTCCTCGAAGGTGGTCCTGAAAGTCTGCATGAGGTAGCACGCGTGATCTGGATCAAAGTCATTCCTTAGCTATCTTGGAGGACTGTCAACATGAGGACGCACGATAGGCGTATGCCAGAATTAGGCTCCAGTCTCTCAAAGTGTGGATCGTCGAAAGGAGGCTTGTGTTCGGCAGGCCCAAGAGGAAGATCTTCGATGACGGTCATATCCTCTTCTCTTCGTGTCGGATTATCACCGGGAGCTGGCGGAGGAGGTCGTGCAGAGAATGCAGCGGAACGGGTGGCAACAACCTCTTGCTCAGAAGAAGCGTTCTTCTGTTTGTGGGCCTTGGCAAGCCTCTGCAAGACACTCGAAGACGGGGTAGGAGCCGCAGACGTCCTGTCTCGTGGCAATGGGAACGACGGTCCTGCCTTGGGCAATGAGCCGGGGGCGGCTCTCCCGGAGGATGGGATAGCCACCGGTGTGGCCTTCTCGAGTCTTTGCCTCTCGGACTCATGCCTGGCAACTTTCTTCTTCTCTGCAACAAAGTCAGTTCACCTCAAACATAGTCTGCAGTATTAAGTACATACTAGAAGGTGTTTCAGGAACTAGGACGCTGGTGCTTGGTCGCTTTCGTTTCGGAGATGAAGGCAGCTGGTGGGCCAATGCCGTTTCCGACGTGCTGTCGTTGCTGAGCTGGGCTTGGAGCAAGGCGATTTGTTTCCTGATTTCTGCCTGTTTCAGCTCTTCCGCAGTCTTCCTGCTAGTGGCAGAGTCCATGTGGTCAGAGTGGTAGTGGACCACGCGAGACGCACGCCACGGAGACCGCAAGATACGACACGCCGCCGAGCGCCACCCGCGACGCGTTTTCTTTGGCGCCCAAGTTGCTTGGCGTTAAGCAGGCCCCTCTCCACCACGTTATAGTCATAGTTTACGATGGTCTTATGGAGAAGGTATCACGTCTAATCACTCATTGTAATGCATTGACAACGTCTAGCTATATTTCGGTGCTCAAGACAGTCATATTCTAGTGTAACTGGCTTCGAAAATCGTTCAAGATCACGAGGTACTGCATGGCAGATCTGGGAGTTAGTGCGTCCGCAGCCGATGGAGAGAACTCTTGACACATATCGTCACCTACCGACAGATCTCTGGCCGAATCCGACGTATGAAGCACGTGACCGCAGAGCTTAGCGAAAGTCGCTCGTTTCTCACCGGTGTCTGGGCCCTTGACTGCCAACGTCCACCAGCTCCTCGTGCATGGCTCGTAGACCTAGAAGCAATGGCGACTGGTACGCACCCCTCCGTACCGGGGCTAAACTCCATAGGGGCGGGAGCACGAATGGCGGGTCCTCTTCGCGCCGCTCGAACCACAACGCGTATCACGACTCTAGCTCTGAAGACGAGTGCGACCAGGCCGGCATTTATACCTGCACATCTCATCGTATAACGGCATGCACCACGCGCAATCCCGTCAGACACACCACCAGCAACCACACGACCAACATCCCCCATCTTCGGAACCCATTGCTATTACGAGTAGGGTGTAGGCGCAACGCGTCAGCACACAGCACCAAGATATGGCTTGACTTCGATACCACAGAGTTCGACAGACGGCCATGCTGCTGGGTCGTTCGAGTCGGCGATGAAGCTCAGCCGCGCGTTTATGAACTTGAGCCCTGCTCGATATGTGCGCTGTCGTCTCCCGGGGACCGTGTGTGATTGGACAAGCTACATACTCGCTCAACGCGTTGACGGGCCCTGGGAATTGTCGGTTTGGCTCGCTCATCCCATCGTTTTGGGAGTTCGACTAGTCCTTATGAACTGTCCCTCCTCCTGATTGCTCCCGCGCCCGTTCTTCGCCCTTGCCCTTGGCGCTCTCCCCAGTCATCTTTCGTGCCTCTGTGCCTCGAACTCGATCGTTTTCCCTGTGCGTATCTGCTGCGGCCTACGGCATTCATCCCTCACTTCATTACCATGTGAAGGTTCATCTTCTCATTCATGTCCGTCCCCTGCTCTTCACTTCTCGTACTACTGTTGCTGATCGCGACCACCTCTCATTCATAAACATGTATCATCACTCTGCCGTCTGGTGGGTTGTATAGTATTCGGGATGATCAAAGCTGTCGAGGTTTCCATATCCGACATGGCTGTGCTTCAACACGTATCAGCTCCTCGTACTATCGGTGCGCTTTCAACGCGACGCCACACGTTGGTTCATGAGTGTGTTCTCAACTCAAGGTTCTGCTAACGGATGTCATGCGTACTCGACGACCGGTGTGGTTGACCAGTGCTTTCTTCCTGCCAGCCCACTGAGTCGTGTAGCAGGTCCAAGCATATATAGCATAACACCCCATCGAATGCTTGTCCCCAGCTCTCATCGTCTTGTATCTCTAAGTGAGTTTTACCCTTTCGAACATGTGCTGCCGACCCAGTCTGATCATACCGGTCGAAATCTTCCCGTAGTCCTACACTGGATAGCTGGCTTCCCTCGGCCGAAGCCCGTCGTCCATCATTCGATCTGCTAACCTTCAAACGGGTGCGTCCGACCGTACGTCGAAACCCGTTATAATCTCTACTAAAACACTTTCAGGTCAACCACTATGTGGTTGCTCAAGACCGTCTCTGCCGAGCTGAAGTTCTTCGCTATACCAGAGCTTGTGCCCGGGGGCTACGCGATCCTCTCCCACACGTGGGATGAACACGAGGATACCTTCCAGGATGTTCAGGCGTTTCGTACAATGTGTACCAAAGCGCCCGCTGAGCACCATCATGTCGCCGAGTCCTCTACTAACACCGCGGTCCCCACCAATTACCGTCCCACATCACCTCTCACCCCTCGCGACCTAGTTTCCGATAAGATCCGCAACTTCTGTATCCTCGCAGAGGAAAAAGGGTACGAGTACGGATGGGCCGACACATGCTGCATCGACAAGACCAGTAGCGCGGACCTTTCCGAAGCAATTAACTCGATGTATCGCTACTACTCCCTCGCCGACGTCTGTTTCGCATACCTGCGCGATGTCCGGTCCAGCTCGATTGAAGACCTCAAACGGCGTGGGTCCGAGTTTTGGAAGAGCAGATGGCATCGACGTGGGTGGACGCTGCAGGAGCTCATCGCACCCGAGGTTGTCGTGTTCTTGTCGCAGAACTGGGAGATATTGGGGACGAAGGCAGACCTCGCGGAGGTGCTGGGGGACATCACGAAGGTGCCGGTACCACTGCTGAAGTCGAATGCGAACCTTGGTGACTACTCCATCGCCGATCGGATGGCCTGGGGGGTGAATCGGGAGACGACGCGTCTCGAGGACGAGGCGTACTCGTTGATGGGAATCTTCGGAATCTTCATGCCTCCGCTCTACGGCGAGGGCAGGAACGCGTTCTTCAGGCTCCAAGAGGAGATCATGAAACGCTTCCAAGAACCTTTGATCTTCGCTTGGGGTCCTGTGCATAATCAGACGCACACGACCCATGGCCAGGTACGTGCGATAGCAAAACTGACTCCTTCCAATCTAATTCGTGATTGCACATAAACAGGGCCGCACTTACGACTTTCCCACTGTACCCCTCCTCCGTGCCTACAGCCCCTCCGCTAGAGACCACTTCTACACCACTGACACTTCTGAGATGAAGAATGCGGTGACCAACCTGGGCTACCTGCAAGAGGGCAATGCGGCGACAGTTCATCCTAACCAGACCCCGAATACCATCCCACTCTACCGTCTCTGGAGCCCTTCCTCCCGAGACCACTTCTATACTACTTCGGCCAGCGAGCGGGACAATGCCGTCCAGAGACTCAAATACTCCAAGGAGGGCATCGCGGCTTACGTTTACGGGACGCAGTTATGCGGTACCGTGCCGCTGTATAGGATGTACAGCTCGTCGGCCAAGGACCACTTCTACACCACTAACGCGGCGGAGAAGGACAATGCCGTCAAAAACCTGGGATACTCCTACGAGGGGATCGCGGCCTATGTCAAACCTCAGCGCTCAGCACTGCCGGTGAGAACGTGCATGGCGTCAGTTAGCTAAGCTCTGTTTGTACCGTATCTAGTCGGGATAGCCGCACGATACCATACAACTGCTGTTGGGTTGGGTTGAACTTGGGTAGAGCACGGTCCGTAGTAGTCATTTACGGTCAGTGATGTTTGGGTTTGGATAGTTCGACCCACCGATCTGGAAGTTTATCGGGATGACGTCCAGTGGCCATCTGGCTGCATCTTCTATGTAGCGGATAGGGGTTCTCGACACGCACTGCGGGAGTGTCTATATTGATTTTCGAGCAAACACATACCTCTGTACAGTGTATGAATTGACCTAGGCAGGGAGTTGGTGCTTGGTGCTTCCGGAGAACAACGAGTGTCGATCGGGGGGACTCGGAGGGGGTATGTATACACAAGACCCTGCAACGCTACTACTCACTATCCAAGTATTCCTCGACTTTTCACTGGCATAGTACTCCGCAAAGCGCCCTGTGTCCAGGGGAAGACCTATATATCGTCAAGTCACCTCCCTTGACGCGGTGGCAGCACGTCATTCTCGCACAATACATACGGTTGACGGAAACGTCATGAAGTGCGCAGGCCACCGGCGCCCTCGTTGTACTGTATTCATAGCGCGATATAGCGCCCGCATGAACCTCAACTGTCTTCATTCTCGGCTTTCCGTCGTGAAACCTGAGCAGATTGACGCAAAGTGAGGCAACATGACATATCGATGGGCATCCGAGAAACGAAATGTACTTGTACTACACACATATAACGTTGTGATTGCTGCTGAAGGACAAAGCGGGACATGTTTGCGGGAACAGATGGGACAAGTACCGCGCGAACGAGCCGACTCTATAACAAGTCTTGGATGAGTCTACTAGAGCAAACCGAACGTAGCTTAAGCTCCAAGAAACGAGAACATGACAGAACAGGCTTATGTTGTGTACAAAGCACTGGTTGATAACATAGGGATGGAAGAGTAGGATGTGAGGTATCGCAAGGGGCACGTATCGCGGATAGCGCAAAAGGCGTGTGATAGACGGATAGGGTGGTCGGATAGGAGGCATAGGATGGGAGTATGAGTAGGGTAGTTTGTGGGTGTCGCAGGTCAGGATACGTAATGACAGCGCGACAGCATGAGTCAGCGCAATAGGGGAAGCATTAATGGAGCCATAGCCGGACGAATAGAGGCAAAACCTGAGGAGCACCATGGACAGCAGAAGGATATTGACAAGCTATGCGTCGAACGACAGGTCGTTTCGGACTACCGCTTGCGGACAGGCCCAAGGGCGCGCTTCAGCGGATCCGTGCGGTCCTTCTCGGGGAGACGAGGTTCGCCGCTTCGGCTGCTAGGCCTCGTGCGAGGTGCGTCTCCATCCGCGAACACGCCCTTGTGCATGCGTCTCGCAACACGCGCGGCCATCGCTGCAGCTATCGCCTCCGTATCTACCTCTGGCTCTAGGACGGTAGATGGACCAGGGGCGCCGTTAGCCACATCACGTGTTTCATCGCTTGAAGATGAACCGGCGCGACGCCTGGTGGTTGTGGGAGTCGGCGACGTGGGGCGAGGAACAGTCGGATGAGCCCGCCTACGGGCAAGGTCGCGCTTCCTCGCCTCAGGGAAGAGAAGCTTGGGAGCGGCCGTGTCCGATGGAGAGAAGTCGGGATGGGTAACGGGCAGCTGGGCTCGCGCCTCAGTTTCTGCGGCAGCTTCCTCGGATGTGTAATGCGGGTTGGACACGAGCATTTTCACACCACGGCTGTGGGGCGAAGAACACATTCATCGATGAGCTTCAGGCATCCAATGAAGTAAACGTACAAGACATAAGTGAGCGTTGGCTTCTCCACATGCTTCTGAGGGGTGCGTGGTTCCGGTGAGCTTTGGACTTCGCTGGCCGGTACGGAGCCAGGAGAGTCGTCCGCTAGAAACGGGTTATTGGGCGAGTCGCGTTCGGGGAAGCCCTTGCCCTTCTCCTTGACTGGCTCAGGAGGTGGCGTTGCCAGCCGGGGGACAACCACAGGCGCCCGGCGAGAGGGCGGTGGCGAGATCAACCCCGTGTGGCCGCGTCGCAGGAGATGCGGAGCGGGGGGCGGCGACGACGACGGCGAACGCGTGCGAGAACGTGCCCTGGTGGATGCTCGGTTCTTGACCACCCTGTGGGCTGGCTTGCTGCTGCTCGGACCTGCGGTATTTGACGAACCAGCCGCGTCCTCGCCCATCCAGAATATCTCTTCCGCGCGAGCCTGGCTGAGCTCCTCCGCGATTGCGTCCAAAGTCATCGTCTTCCTCTTCTTGTGGCCAATGTGCACCTCCCCATCCTTCTTCTTGCCGCTCCGTCCATCCTCCTCGTCGGACTCAGGCTCCGGAACATCGTGCGCGTCCTCGTCCTCAGAGGACGAGTCGGTAACGCGAGATCGAGAGCGACGCTTGCGCTTGTGGGTCGTACGAGGAGGCGTGGGGGGTAGAACTTGTGACTCGGATGCTGCCCGTTTGATTGGTGGTGGTCTCTTGACTGCCATGGAGGATGCTCCCGCAGGATAGGGGGCGGGGGCTTGTGCAGAGCCGCCAGGCGGTTTGACCGCAGCTCGCACTCGAGGCATTGTGAGTAACGTAAATGTACGAGCGCAAAGAGCGGTTCAAGATGGTGAGAGCAGAAAGAAAGGTGAACGGCGGCTGAGCAGGATATATGGCAAACCACAACGAAGACGGGGGCGGTAACGCGGATAGTCGCTTAAGCGCCCGCAACGGATTTCGAACAATGCCTCGGCAACGTCCGGACAATAGACAAATACGCCACAACATCACTCATGCAGGCCTGAGACATGTCGCTGTCTTGTTACCTGAAACCTCTCACTTTCCTGATGTCTCACCAGTACTTCTTCCACCAGTCCGTGTGTGGTACCTTCTATGAGACCGCTCCTTGATCATTCGACAATAGACTTGCGATTCCGCTCTCCATGACAGTGACGCGTTGCTCTCCTTCCACCCATTCGTCAAGCCAGCGTAAGTCACTGGACGCTCTTCGTCATTCTGGACACTTCAGATCGTGGTACATGTCCTCGGAAAACCTGCACCAACAAAGAGCCCTCTGGACAGCCGCAAGGCGCAGGAAGGTTGGGTGGACATGTGTGCCAGATTTAACACGCTCGAGAGAGCTTTGCGTCCGTTCTATCGGCGCTCGTGATGAATCGCAAGCGATCGACTATTTGGCGCAGAAATGCTTCATCATTTCGCTACCTCTCTAGCTCAATGTGCGACCATCTCTTCTGCTTCTCTATTAAGAGTGTATGCGCACAATGGTCGCCCCACGACTTTGTAAGACAATACTGCGTACAACGATGCCGGTCATAACCATCCCCTGCACTTGAACTCGTGCAACATGTGTCTCGTCGTCTCTCCAATGCTATGGTACTTTAGACCAAGGATTTGCCTTCCTTTATCTGTCACGTATTGAATATGTTCAGCCTTTGCAGGATCGTACGAGGTGTTTCCAGCAGGGACCCTATCCCCTACTATATCACGCGCCACAAGTACTGCTGGGCTCTCAGCTTCCGCTCAAACACGATACAACCGAAGCACCTACTCAAGTCCTGCCACTTGAACGCGTTTGCGCTTATAACGATGCGCTCGCCACCTGCGGCCGGTTTGATGAGCGCGAGCGTATGCGCTTCCGCAACGTCACGGACGTCTACCCAGGACGTCCTTAGCACAGAATTCAGCAATCATCTCAAGGGAACTGGTGAGTGTCCATGTCGCTTACCCACTCGTCGCTAGCATCTCATCGCTCGCCTCCCCTTTCAAGACTACCGAATGGTAGTAGCGAAGCGACGTGCTCAGTCCCGCGACGTTTTCTGCTTTGTGCAACCATGGCCCCAATACGAACGACGGGTTAAGGACGACCATATCCCATCCAAGCTCCGCCTTGTTCGTCTCATACCAGTCCCATGCCGCTCGCTCCGACAGCGTCTTGCTCGCGCGGTATTTGTCGAATGGGTGTGCGTCGCGGCCCTTCGTGCGTACCTCCTGGACAGACAAATCGTTCCAGTCCGTCTCGTCGCGAATGGCGGCTTCACCGCTTGACGAGGCGATCGCAGCGGAGGATGAGGTCAGGATGACACGCTTGACGTCGTTGCCGTAGTTTTTGGCGGAGGCAAGCAGGTTATTAGTCCCTTGGACCGCGGGAAAGATGACCTCGTCCGGATCATCAGCGGTGATATGAAACGGCGACGCGGTGTGGGCTATCGCGTCGATGTCTACTACGGCCTCGTCGAATGCCCCTTCCTGCAAATGGCTTTTAAGGCTTCGGTAAAGGCTGCGGGAGTAGATTGACTCACCTTGGCGATATCCTCGACAATGACATATTCGAGCGTCTCTCCGTAAGTCTTGAATACTTCCTTCAGCACCTGTCCCTTGCTCTTCGAGCGTACCGTCCCTCGTACGGAGAACCCTCTATCTAGCAGAGTCTTGACTACCCATACGGCGATGTATCCGCTCGCCCCTGTCACGAGTACTTTCCCGGAAGTTATAGCGGGCATGATCTATGGCAGAGAGCGCAGGAGCTTTGGGATGCGGGACGTGAAGTGCGCTCGTCCAAGCTCGGGATCGATTCGCTATATATCGTTGTCACCATCCCGCGAATGGTAATTAGAAGGAATATCAAGACGTCGCTTACCGCAGAAGACTTCTGGCAAGAAAGATGCTCACGTTCTGCCTCGTATGTTGTTCACTAGACTCTGGTCTTCCCCATGAAAGAGCAATTCTCAAGAAAGCGTGCCATTCAACGCATCCACGAGCTCGCAACAGCGAAGGCAGGACGTTGACTGCGGTCCGTGTTTCCGTCCGTATCGGGTAACCGCTCACCTCCGTCGGTGGCCTTCCTCCACATCGTCCAGCGTTCCGCGGGTCACGCTGTTTACGCAAAGGGCATCGTGCGATTCCGTCGTGCCCAGTTCTGCAGCTAGCATACCTTAGCGCGGACGTTGAGTGTATTATGTGTCATTCTTGATTACGCGCTATGTTCTGAGATACGTCAGATCGGCCGTTTCGACCGGACTCACGAGAAGCAGCCGGCGGAGGACTGGAAGCAGATACTTATGCCCTTGTGGTCGCGAAGATGAGCATCGCGAGGGCGAAGGACCGAAGTATGGGCACGCAAGTGTTTCGACGCAGGGAAGAGACTGGGACATTGGCGTATGAGCACCGATAAGGTGGAATCTACGGCCCGTTGAATCAAGCTGAATGAATCACTTGGGAGTTACTCATAGTACAAACTGAAAGGAGCTTTAGAGCGTAATGCTGACACGAAAAGATCAGTTCCAAGATCAAACTAACCGTTCAGCTAGAGGCCACGTACGGCCCCATCACGCAACAACAGAGCCTCGGGTGGAAAGCAGCTGTCACTCAGCACATTCGAGTTCGACACGGCGAAGTCCTATACCAGACAGTGCAACTCCATACGACCTACACGCGACACAGTGTTTGTATAGAGCCAGTCTGTACAAGCACTACCGGCAAGACCTTCAAGATTCCATAGACTGTTCCAAGACTATGCTATCATTCTGTCCTCGATGGCTTACCCTTCTTGCGCTGAGATGACTCGATCCCCTTCAATACTCGAGATGGAGTCGACAAGAATGCCATCCCTCGCCCTGTGTTCTTCCTCTTCATCGTGTGGCTCGATATTGTGCTCTATGACTGCACCCATGGAATCCACCACCCCACGGACGAAACTGAGCGAACGACCACTGTGGCTTCTCTCAGTATACAAGGGATCGTCGGAATTGACTTTGATGGTCCTTTGATTTGCTTCTTGGAGATCTAGGAGAAAGTGGGAAACCATCACGACTGAAATCCTGTTACACATGAGGCTGTTGAATTTTGTAAGCAAAATGAGTAGGGGCAAATCTGACACGAACGATGTATTGATAGAGGTGACAATGCTTCCGAAGGGAGTGTCTGTAAAGAACTGGCCACCTCGGTCAACTGAAAATGTCCGAACCGAGCAATTGGCGACTTACGGCTATGATCTCCGCTAGCATCTGCGCTATGTTGGCTGACATCAGCACACTGCGGGATACAGTCCACTCACTTAGCGTTCCCACTCTTCGTTCTGCGCAGTGACTCGCACAAGATAGATCATTCCTACGAATAGATGAGAAGCTTGTAGACGTGAAAGGTTTTGGTCACACACGGACCATCTCGTAGCATCACCGAAGAGAGAAATCCCTGAGGAGTTTTGATTGCTGCTTTCATTCCAGCCCGTCGGCCAATTGCAAACCATGTCATGATGATGAGGATCATGTCGGCTAGGATCGCAGAAGCTCGTGCTGCCACTGCCACTGTGCAAACTTAGTATCACCTCCCGTAGAAAACACGGTTTCATGGAAGAGGTGGTAATGCACAACTAGAACGCATATAAGGTGGTTATACCGATCTGACGTGTCACAAGACGAGCGAAGCTGCCTACCTGATCGCCACTTCTGGGGAGCTGAACGGTGTTGAAGCTACATACCCGGAGTTGCCGACCAGGAACTCAACCCGAACGCCAAATCTCAGGATGCTCTAAGCGTTCGTGAGTGTTCGTGGGAGATCGCTCCTTGGATATGGATGGTAGAAACTCAACAGATTTGTGGCCGCAGGCCCAAGTCCGAGGAGAATGATTATTGCTAGGAATATGTTTCGATAGAGGGCATACCGCGAGGAGACAAGAATGCTAGTACACAGGATGAACGTAACATCATGGGATTCTCATGGGATATTCGATTTGGATTGACACGTACCAACCCCGGGCATTGATTGCAATGGTGAGACTGCTTGACCTACCACGGTCAATAAGCCATTGGCTATTGTGCTACACCACTACGACGTAGACAAGTGTCAATGATGCTCGGGGCACACCAAGCGATATGACATACTTGTGGTTGTATAGGAGTGACGGTGACGACAAAAGCCAGCAGACCAAAGTACCGGTTTGCCAAGTAAAGCACCGCCGGCATGCGTCCACCTCGCCAGATTAGTCTGGTCTCTCGATAAAGAAAGAGAATCCAGTCATAAACAAGAATCGCTCGAAGACATAGAAGCTCAGAAAACTTCATTAACCTCAGACGTATACCTCGAAATGCTCACTTGTGGCTGCATAGATAGTCTGATATACTAGAGTGCTTCACGTCCCTTGTCATTACTTACCCGAAATTACAAGTTCATCAACACTTACGTTGATCTAATATCTGCTATAGAAAAATCGACTTGCGAGGATGACATCTTCGGGAGGTCAATGCGAATGCGTAGACCTTGCTCTCTGTGCTGGATTATATTTCGGAGCTCGACTGGCTATGTACCTGGGGACCAACCACCATTGGAGCCGCAGAGTGGACATACTTGGCAGACGCATACATAGAGTTCATCAATGCGACAGTCGTTCGCAGGGTCGCAGTCACCTGTGGCTGGCGTATACGGAGAGGGAGCAGCCGAGCAACGCGCGCAGGCACAGCTGTCCCGCGCGCATCAAAAGACGATACCCAAGGTACGGGCGCTAGCGGCGAGGTTGCTGCTCATGGTGTTCGGAAGAGGGAGAGACCAGAGAGTATAGTAACAATGTAAAGACAATAATATATATATGGTGCGTGAAGCCAGCCATAGTGTGAGCCTGTCCATGGCGGGAGGCTGGGGGCGGACGAGACGGAAGGTGGACGCGGACGAAGCGGGAGGCAAGGCGCCCAGGTACTGTTGTGATGAGCGCATCAATTTCTGATGCGCTCGATGCGAGTGCGACACCGTCCGCGGCGCGATGCAGTTGGGCGACGGGAGGCATAGAGGTCCCGGGTCGCGCCATGAAGGACGTCAGACGCTGGGCAGAGCGCAAGAAGGAGAAGGGGGCTTGGAGGCAAGGAAAGGGCAAACAGGCTTACAGTACAGCGGCGCACGGCGGGAAAACGGCGGGAGGGGATCCCGGGCGCTGTAACAAGAGCGCCGGCGATCAAAGGAGACACAAGCGACTCTGGAAAAGGCACAGAAAGCATCACGTGAAGGGGGAAAGGGAGGTTTTAAACCATCATGGCCCGATACCCCTTCGAGTTATAACCGCCGTTGTAGTCTCTACATACGCCCGTCACCTGTCAGTAACCTATGCATTACTCGGATGCTGAACTGAATCATCAACAGCTCTCCCAGCTCTCGAGCTTCCTGTTGTGGATGTCTCTCAAGCCATTTGAAATTGTGGGATGGACATCCGAACTGAAGAGGTATCATACATACACACGGTTCCTTCGTCAATCACATGACCCTACAGCCAACCACGAGCCTCGAAGTCATCCAACGTATCCTTCGTCGTTTCCTCAATGGTCCTGAACTTGACCCCAAGCAACTTACGCTCCTTATCAGGAGAGTACCTGATGAGGTGAACGGTCGTCGCCGGGTCGTAAGACGTGTTACCTGCGGGAAGGCTGGGGCGGAGGCGATGCGCGGTGTTGACTTGATTTGTGAAGGACAATCGATGAGAACACGCAATGTCATCGTAGGAGAGATGGATGGAGGGAGCACTGACCGAAGTCCTGCCATTTCCAAGGCCCGGCGCTGACGATGATACGTTCGCCGCTAGCTTCCTGCTTCGTGACTGCGAGCAGGTGGCCTTGCGCGAGGTCGCGCACATCGACGTACGATGATCTGACACAAGATGTTCGCCGCTGTTAGCCCATCCAACACGCCTGCTCTCAGAAGCGGAGGGACCTCACCCAATAGTAACCAACGCGTCGTTATCCTTAGTGCCTTTCACGACCGTATCATACCAGTCCCGAGCCGACTCGTTGAGGTTCTCCGGCTTGTCGACCTCATGCAAGAACGGTCCAAACACAAACGGCGGGTTCACCACCACAAGGTCCCACCGCACCTCGCTCTTGTGCTTGTTCCAGAAGTCCCAAGCCGCGCGCTCCGCCAGCGTCTTGCTCGCGCGGTACTTGGCCGGGCTCGACGCCGCCCGGCCCTTCTCCTTGACCTCCGCGATGCTCGCCTCGTTCCAGTCCTCCTCAGAGAACACGCGCGGCTCGGTCGTCGGGGTGAGCACGGACGCGCAGGACGAGGTGACGACGACGCGCTTCACGGACGAGCCGTGCTTGAGCGCGGAGGCGAGGATGCCAGTCGTGCCGTGCACGGCGGGAATGATGAGCTCGTCCGGGTCCTCTGCCTTGAAGTGGAAGGGGGATGCGGTGTGCGCGATCGCGTCGATGTCCTTGACGGCTTCATCAAACGCGCCTTCCTGTGAAAGAAGACACTGTCAGTCCCCGCACTGCCTGCACGACATCGTCACTAGGGAGAGTTGGCGGCGGGAGCACGCAAGCTGCGAGACCCTCGGAAGGCCGTTCGGAGCCATGGCTTACGCAGATGGGACAGTGGGAATCGGACAGAACAAAGTTCCGAGGAACAAGCGATGAGTTACTCCCACCGCAGCAACACTATTCCTGTGTACGGATTCTCTGCGTCTGCGCTAGTGCTTTGCCCCTTTCCCGCAGAGGTACGACACCCCTGATGCCGCACACCATGCTTTTGAGAGACGCAGGCGCACCTTCGTAATATCCTCAACGATCAGAACCTCGAACTTGTCTCCAAAAGATTTGAAGAGCGACCGGAGGTGGGTTGCCTTGCTCTCGGAACGGACCGTGCCCCGGACCGAGAAGCCCTGATCGAGGAAGGCTTTGACGACCCAGACGGCGATGTAGCCATTCGCGCCAGTAACGAGAACTGTTCCAGAGGTGATAGCGGGCATTGTGCTTGTCTTGTAAGTCGCTGTGAGAGAAGGCTTGGGGAAAGGTGGGTATGTAGGTGAAGCACGGAGAGCCGAATGATTATATATATCGCGAGCCTGTTGCTCAAAACCGTGAGTGATCGCGATAACACTAGTTGTGGCTGACAGAGCAGAAGCTATGTACGGTGCAATCGTACGTCATATCTGTAGACACGATACCACACGATCTGCTTGGGATTAAGCACGGCGCGACAGAGGTGTAGATAGACTGACCTGTTCTCGTCCATATCGCTCTAGACGCTACAGAGATGAGCCTGCTTACACGATCGAATTCGTAGGCGGTGACCGTGAGTGGAGATGCCAGCAGGCAAGAAGTCAAAATCACAATCAATTTGAGGTGCAAGGCAAGACAAATATAGCGCCCATCCCCTGCCCCGGTTCGGCACAGCTTGCCTTTGGTCCACCACCTTATTTAATCTCAGTCCGATCCTTGTGCACCCCTTAGGCTTCTTTATCAACTATGTGACACCGGATTGCTCTTTCACGATTTGCAGCCCGTAGAGAACGACATCCGAAACGCGGCCATAGGTATGCCATATAAGTCTGTGTTGTCAATGCGCGCTCCGCTTTCTGTGACTGTACCACTTCAACCGCGCATTATCTTCCCTTGGCCACATGTGGCATAGAACCCCTTCAGTCGTCGTTACCCGTATATATTCGTTTTCACTGGCGTTCGTTAGCTGTCCTGTCCATCGCCCTCCAAATATAAGTCAAAATGGATCGAGCGTATACGTTCCAAGTGAGGTCAAAAACTTCCGGATGGCAACGTCACGGTGATATTCATTCTCAGTCGATCCTGTCTGAGACATGTGGATATTACTCTCTTGTGTTTTCTCACTTTTCCAGACCCATAAACGTTTCTTGCGACCACAGCTCGACCAGGTCGCGGACGCTGCAGAGATGCATGGTCTCCAATCATGCTCCAGCCTGCTAGCGAGCCGCGGAATTTTCTAGTACACGGATAACCACTCATGGTGCCGTCGAGTACGTCCGCTCATATCAGCTCGGGCCGAGGGGAGGGGAAAGACAATTACTACTTGCTCCATACTATGTGCTGATGTATGTTTTGGATTATTGTCTGATGTTGTACAGTGTAGCCTCAATGCATAATAACAGGATGCCACCCTACGGGCGCAGCACCGGGTCTCGCAAGGCTCTGTTCGCTTTCTTTCGCAATACGACGCATCATTGGCACAGCACCGCGGTGCCATGCCGGAGGGAGGCTGCCTGGCTTGCCGCACTACTAGACCGTGGTTGATGTTGTACCTTTTGTGCCAGTGCATTGCAGAACGTCCATCATCAGGAGTCCATCACGGTGACAAACTTTGCCCTCTCGTCACGGGGAGTTGAGCGGTGTGATCATCTTTTACAGTTCTCGACTCCACTACTGGGATGCAGCCGTTCGGAATCCTTCACAACGGCTATGAGGCACATTGAAGCAGTCACACGTCTCGATCACGCCCATGATATCATAATTCCGCTGCAGATGACCGGGCTAGTAGGTCGCGGTACGTTCATGCAAAGCCAAGCAGATTGACAGTTTCTGATCTACCAAGGGGGAGGGCCGAGTAAGACGTTACAACGGAACGGACACAAGCCAAAAACCCTTTGCGGTCTGAAGGCTTCCATCGCTAATATTGCGGTCCCCTCGCTACCTCACACAAATTCATCTATTTGAAATACGCAGCAAAGGGAGGGAACTCAGACAGTAAAATGCGCGACAAAAACTTCGTTGGAGTGCGCATGCTACGGGAACTCAACGTATAGTGGCCCTTGAAACGACCCGACCACTGAAACTGAGGCAGCACACGAGAGGGGACGTTCACGCCACTGCGTGTGTCACCTCCTGACGGTTCCTGGCTCCTATCGCTCACCTTGCAACAACTGACGGTTCACGTTGAGCAGCACCATGTGGCCGCCTTAGAGTTCGAACCCTGGAGGGAGCATAGCTTCCGACTGAGGGGCATTCTTCCGACTTGTGTGCCCGACTTCGATTGCTGAGAAGCTACTCCTGACGTGCTTCTCAGAGCCCTAGGTCTGCTGTGGAGGTGAAGGATGCCGCGCCGTTACGCAAACGTGTGTTGTGAGCGCCAGGCCTTTGTGGTTTCAGATGTCGTCTTGGCCCAGCACTGCAATCTCATTGGAATATATCATCATCTCCGATCTCACGATATGACGCAGTATACGTATACCGTAAGCCTATGTTTGTAGACCTGCGTTGGTGCGGTAGGCCGCTTCCGTTTAGCTGATGAAACGCTGCTCCCGTTCGTCTCCCGCGCATGGCAGGCAAGACTCTGTGAAAAGCATGTCAGTCGCATCGTGGGGGGTGTAGGGTGGAAATATTTGGAAGACAGCAATATTAACAGCGACCGAACCTGAACATCTCATAGGCCGCGGCAATCCTTGTACCCTCAAAAACGGGTATGCAGCTCGGTGGTCGCCATCACCGGCTAAATCTCACAGCCTACAAAGCCCATCTGTCACTTTGGATTGCGGCGCTGCTTTTGCCGAGCGTGCATACTGAGCCAGAAAATGTTCTTCCATCCCGAATCTGTGACAGTCATCACGCAAGATGTGCGGCCGACCCCATCACACATTGGTCGGCCGCCTCGGGAACATGTGCTATCACATTACAGGGGTATCGACGCATCGAGGACGGAGTGCGCAAATGACGTACATGCACCGTTGTTGGGTATTTCCCCAAATCGAGAATATTAATATGGTTGGTTCTGTAAGGTGGTGCAAAAGCAATCACCGTAACTGTCGCATTAGAACACGGGAGCAATCGGCGGAGTTAGCAGTCAGAAACGTGGTAGGAACGACAAGGACTTTCCTGGAATTCTGACTGCACTCTGGGCCCTCCCAGTAGATCATTATCGGAGGGTATCGGGGACGACGATGGCTGCCGCATGTTGGGGACACTTGCAATGAACCTGATACAACGTACCAATGTGGAGAGGTGGGGCATCGTCTGAGTTCGGGTTTGAGACAAGGCCTCCCTTGATATGTAAGTAATTTGGGATCAGCCTGCGAGGGAGGAGTGTAGAGTTGACGCGATCATCGGACGTCCCACGAGCGTGCGTGACTATGAAGCATCACGAAACCAAAGAACCGACGACTCTATTTCCGAGCTGAATGCTTTATGTTGAGGCTGGACGGCGCGGTGTCGCCCACGTCACGGCTGCGATGTGCCTGTCCGGCCTTTTTGATGACCATGACAACCGAGATATGTTTGGCCCGGACGCCCGCTGGGTTCGCACGGTGTGTTTCCTACTTACCGGAAATGGCAAGTGCGAGGATTTGGCGGCAGGGAAGCGGCATCTGCGGGGCTTGCTCCTCTCCTCCACCTCTTCTGTGGTGTTTGTCCTCTTCGTAACTCCGTTTCGTGCTCATTTTCCTCGGGGCTTTTGGGAAACCGCTGTGGCCGTGTATCCGTGCTTGGCTAGCTGTAGACTCCAGTTCGCAGATCGTGCAGCTGGATCTACACCCTCCCCGCACGTTGGCAGTATTCTTGAGCTTTGACGTCGTTTGCAGCCACTGCATGTCCAGTGGGGCGCGTCCACGTCTCCTCAGACCAGTGCAACCTTTGCCTAAATATTTGCCTTGTTGCCGACGCTGCTGATGCTATCCTTCTGACTGGCTTTCTTGACATCTTGTCGCCGGCCCTTTGAAGTCACTCGCCAGCGCACTTGCTGCCCCCAGCAAGTGCATGTTTTCCTCCTCAGCTGGCTCGGGATGCGTTAAAGACTGTTTTCCTTCATCCCTTACCCCGTCCCATGACCCTACCCCATCCCTGACACCGACAAGCACCCGAACTCGAAAACGAGCCATGTCACCACACTCGGCCTCCTCCTGTCGTTCTCGGCTTACCATTCAGGAACTCCTGGTCGAGTCGCCCCACGCTGCACGCACTTGCCCCGATGCCACTAGTCTTCGGGCGTCCTGTCATTCCAGTCCTACTGCCTCCTGCTCTAGCCTGCAATTACCCTCATCACGGCCCGTTGTGGACACCTGTTCCGGCTGCGAAGGGTCTGTTTCTCTACCGCCCCGCAGTATCCGTCCTGGTCGACGCTTCAAGCCGTGGGAGACTACCGAACGCCATGCCAGGCACGATTCGGCTTTATGGCCTCACGAAGCTCAGCACTCTCCACCACAAAAGTCGTCTCGGAGAAGTGGGGGAACGCGCTCGTGTCGTAAGAACCCAGTGTCTCGGTGAGTCTGCGCGTCCTTTTGCATTTGCTTGGACTCGTTCCTACCCATCTCCATCTCCATACCTCTACCCGTCTACTTTCCTTCCATTCCCATCTTTCCTCCCTCATATTGATGCAAACCCTTGTAGTTCTACCCTTTGCTGGTCAGCCGTGTTCTCCCTCTTCCTCCTAGGCACACACATGGCGCCGTTTGTACAAGGCCGCGCTCTTCCCGCGAAGTTCCTCCCGGACGCATCTGTCACGCTGCCACAGTTCGTTCCCACGGGCGTTTATAACGCTGGCCGGAGACGGAGGCGTGCGGTCTCTGACAGCAGTTCCGACGTGGCCAGTCCATCAACGTCGGATCCCCAGACGAGCAGTCCGGCACGTTCAGACTCGACTGCGGCCGGAACGTCGTCGGGCACATCTGCGTCTACTTCGGACTCGGTGAGGGCAACAACCGACTCGGTTACAAGCACCGATTCGGAGGTGCGTCCATCTATCGGCTCAGATGTATCACAGCGGTTCAATGCTGCGGTCGAACTTGCCCAGACATCGACGATGTCAGACGCGGCGACAGTAAGCTTTTCAAGGGTTTTCGTGCTTGAGAGTCGGTTGCTGAGGAAACGATGCTTCTTCGACACGCTTGATCCACGCGCAATAGCAGAGCTCCAGCCAAACGGTCATGACATCGGTCACGCCGGCTAATCCCGGAGGCTCGACTTCGACTCCGACGACGATCTCGGTCAGTACATTTGGCACGAGCAGCACATCGGCTACGAGTTCCACATCGACGTCGAATACGAGCTCCACTTCTGGGACAAGCACTTTGGCCACGACGTCGACGACCTCTTTGTCAAGCAGCACATCCGCGACATCCTCTAGGTAAGTTCTGCCAGTCCTATATGGCCCCTGTTTACACAAATCCTACAAATTCCACACTACTTTTTCTTTTGGAGTATACCTATACCGATTGTCAGTGGGATGCGGGGGTGAGGACCGTGCGATATGACGTACCAGCTCGCTTTCGCACCCATTGGGGTTTGACTTCCGTGTCGGAGATCCGTGATTCCCGCTGCATTCTCATAGAGCCTCAATATCCACAGACAAACGTCAACAGTAGCAACCAATCATTCGTCGTCGTCGACGGTGAGCAGTAGCTCGTCTTCAATGACATCGTCCTCTTCCCGGACAACTTCCACCCTCAGCTTCACATCACGTTCCATCACAGATACCACTACGTCACCCGCGTCTTCCACGACGTCAATCAGCTCTACATTTTCTTCATCCTCAGGGACTGTATCATCTTCAAGGACTACTTCATCCCGGACTACTTCATCTTTGACTATATCATCGCGGACTTCTTCATCTCCCATCACCAGTTCTCTGTCCACATTAACTTTGAGCTCATTACCCTCTAGTGGCAGCGTAACGAGCACGACTATCTCCCTTTCTACCTCAATCTCGATATCCCTTCCAAGCTCCATCTCGATTTCCTTGCCGACGTCCATTTCGGTCTCTATCTCAATATCCGTGCCAACCTCCATTCCTGTCTCAATCACTAGTTCGACGTCAACAGGAACCGAGTCGGCTTCCATTTCTAGGACCGCAACCGGACAGCAGTCATCCACGTCTTCGTCTTCGAAGACCGCGTCGGCGTCTACCCACCAGTCCTCGTCTTCGGCAAGTCAACGACCGTCGTCGGCTTCGGGGAGCCTGACGTCCTCACGGCCAGTCTTGCACCCATCATCGACGTCAAATGTGGTGACTTTCGCGTCTACTGGCAGCGGCACCACGACCCTGTTCACAACTGTAGTAGAGACGTCGACATTTGTCACTGAAGGCAGGACGAGCACATACACCACCACCGAGGTCATTCCCACCGGCACTCTCATCTCCAATGTTGGCAGCAATAGCAACATGTAAGCATTGCATCCCCGCTCACTTTATGTACTCTTACCAACTGTCTTTTCTGCGAATAGCTTCGCACACGACAAGGGTGCGCTTGCTGGTGTGATCATTGGCTCCATCGCATTCGCCGGTCTCATCCTCGCGTGGGGTCTGTTTGCCTACAGGCGCCACCGTCTCCACAACGCTGAAGCGGCGGACACGGCCGCTGTGCTCCGCAGTGGACCGGGCGGCGCGCGACCCTTCATGCTTGACGAAGATGACGACCAAGGCATCATGCACTTTGTCGGCACCGGCTCCGTGTCGCGAGGCACAGGCAGCATCCGGTATGACCGTCTACGCGGCGGGAAAAATTTGGACGCCGCGGCCGACGACGGAGCTATCAGCCCCGTTGGGGACACGAGGAGCCAGGACGTCGCTGGGGGTGGAGATAACGGGCTGGAGCCTGTACCCATCGTTGGCGGGCGAATCGGCCAGACGGAGGACGCGTCGCTGATGCATCCTGCCAACCGGTCTACCGTAGACATCACTCAGCCTGAGTTGAGTTCCGTCAGCCCTAGGTCGCGGGTTCATTCGGTTGGCAATCGCTCTTTAGCCGGTCCCGGGCCCGATCCCGCTGAATGGCTCGGAGGACGCGTCGCGTCCTATCCGAACATCAAGGCGACAGGTACTCCCGAACACGACAACGCCCAAGTGCGCTCGATCAGTCCCATGTCCCAGTACTCGGATGAGGGCTTCTCGAGTGGTGGACAAGTCTCGGGTGGCGGACACATGTCGAGCAGTGGACATTCCCAGTCGTTCGGTTCGCCTATCCTTGCAGCTGCTGCGACAGCTGCTGTGAGTGCTGGGGTCGGTGGCGAGCACTCGTCACACGGGCACGAAGGCTACGCGTCCTCTTCAACGCACGGACACGGCGCCACGGGTTCTTCATCCGGTGGGCACGGCTCATCGAGTGGCCACAGGACTGGAGGATCGTCAAGCGGTCACAAAACCGGAGCATCATCTTCTGGTCACCCTATGTCGGCGACGACTCATGCTAGCTCGAGTCCGATTATGCCGCGATCCGGTCCTCCTTCCGGTCCGTCAAGTTTGTTGCCTACGCAGGTTGCCCCGCCGTCATCATATTACGATGTCGACGACGAGAATACCAGGCCGCCCGGCACGCAACGCCGCAAGAGCGGTTTGTTTGGCTCGCTCCGCGGATTGCGCCTCCGCAGCCCCCGCGTGTCTGTCACGTCGCTTCCGGCGACCGGAATAGCATCAGGCCCGGCGTCTGCATCCCCACGGATTTCGGTTTATGACCCGTCATACAATCCGCGCACCTCAATCGTCCGCCCTCAGTCCCCGACGCTGGGCTCCCTGCCACCACGGCCTGCCTTCCGCCATGACGGTATCGCAGCTCCTGAGCGCGCAGCACCTCCTGTGCCACCCGGAGCTGGGCCGATGACGATAGGTATCCATGCCAGGACCGCTTCTGGCGCCCCTATCTGGCCTGGGCTTGGCCCACTAACGGGCACGCCAGCAATGCCGAGCCCTGCGCTGACGGAAGTATCGGGGCGCGCACCAGAGGGGTTGCTCAACCCGCAGTGGCTCAATGCTGAGGGCATGCAGAGCCAAGGCGCGATCAGCTTCAGGGATGACATGGACTATTCTCGTCCCATTGGAGGCGTAAGTCTCCTCCTACAACATATTCCTGTCTCGTCTCATATCAGAGCTGACGGTTGATTCATAGCTGGTGAATAACCGGCAGTACAGCCGCACGACCATTCGAAGTGTCTCTACAGGCAGCTCGTATCGTCACAACTCGCTCGAGTCGCACCAGACCGGCGATACGCAAATGCCTGCGCCAGCACCCGCAGGTGCGTCCGCGACCGAGCTCCAGGTCACGACACAGGCGCCGTTCCCTGCCACGCCATCTGGTGAGACCGAGCCGTTCTCCTGAGGTCGCCCCCGGTAAGGTTCAAGAGTTCTCGCTTCATTCTGTCGGTTCGCGCGAACGTACGCTCCAGGACACCTCTTCGTCGCCTGCACACACGCATATCTCCAACTGCACTTGCACTCGTCGTGTTACATACGCTCCTTGCTCTCGTATTCTTACATAAGTCCCTTGCCCCCGCTGCACAGACTGAAAACACGCAACTAGGACTTCGCTCCAGTTGCAGCTACAGATTGTACGGGGTGCAAATCCCGTGCGTCTGTCGTTACCCTCCTCAAATGTTCCATCCTGTCATTACAGCACAATCTGTTGCTCTCCAGACTCTACTACATAGTGTACCTGCCTTATAACTCGAGCTTTGTGCTAGTGACTTTGCTCGTTACGACGTCACCATGACCACATAGATCCTCCCGCGCTTAAATACTTCGCCCCCCATTTACATAAGGTATACCCTCCAGGTGGCAATGGTGCTGCTGCTTTGGTTTTTTTGCTTCACCACCACTCTGTCCTTATCGCTGGCGCCCGCCTACAAGGCGGGCGTCACGGACTTGTTGCTCCGATCTGACCTTGTCTTCAATGTACGATGTAGCTATATCGTTAGACATTTCCTACATATCATACACGCATCAACCAACTCCACATGCACAATAAAATTGTATGATTCGCATGGTGTTTTCTTGTGCTCGAGTCTATTGGCGGGAGACGTCAATATTAAACAAAGCTATCAGAACAATTGTGTGTGCTCTTGGGCGTCTGTATTTAGACGCCTGGTTCATAAGTTGGCTGGCATCGTTATGAGATTGAAGCTCTTCCCGCCATTGCGCCTCTCACGCTCAACGGGTCAATCTTGACTTTCGCTGCGGTATGTGCTCGGATGATGTGGGGCTGTATAGGAACTACCAGCGACTGCATGAGCTAAATCCCTCATCCTCGAAATGGACTACGACTCCCCGCGATCCCGGGACCCTTGAGATCGATCCGGATTCCTTCAGCCAGCTTCCTTTCGACGGCTGGAACATATCTGGCTGCTATATCGTTGAGTGTGGGAGACCGTAAGGCTGTCAAGACACGTCACATAAGCATTTTCTTTGAAGTGCGGCACGACCACGCGCACACTACAGGAACATAGCGTGAGTCACTTCACAGTTCGTGCCAGCTCGCCCTCGATGATGATGTACATCTTCCGAAAGCATTCTCGGTTCCTCAACCGCATACGAGGGTCACATCCAACCACTTCGCAACGTACACTTTCCGATTGCGCCCCAGGAAAGCGTAGTGGATCCGAAGCCGCGAACTCTAATTGATCCAAGCGTTTCCTCAATAGTCGGCCCGGGAGTCATGCACAACAGAGTCGGACTATCCTACTACGACGCGCTTCCCCCTCAGACGTTCACGCTGAAGGCGCAACAACAACACAGCGAGCAATAGATAGAGTGCAAACGTTGCGGCACTTTGGGTATATCGGATCAACGGCCTCCGACTCCGAGATGGAAACTTGATAACGTCGTGTATGCAGACCCGCTATCACCGAGAGTTGCTGACCAACCTATTCAGACTGATCAGAACCCTGGTGGTGCGTGTTGCGTGGTATCACGTATGGTGGGAGCGTAGCGAAGAGGAGGGATTTTGGTATATATATCGTGCTGTGATTTTGAAGCACTTGAGACATCATCGTCTTATCCACTCTCCTCAGCCCATCTTTCCTCCACAACAAGCATGCCGGTAGTCACATCTGGGAAAGTCCTAGTCACTGGAGCAAACGGCTTCGTTGCTGCCTGGGTGGTCAAAGATCTGCTTGACCATGGTTACTCGGTTCGCGGGACAGTGCGCTCTGAGGGCAAGGCCCCTTACCTCCGTGAGTTCTTTAAGAGTCACGGAGATAAGTTTGAGGTCGTGATAGTGGAAGATATAACCAAGGTAAAGTCATTGGGGCCTCATCGTGCGTGCGATAGTGCAATGTTGACGGCAACGTTGTCCAACGATAGGAAGGCGCTTTCGACGCTGCTGTCTCTGGTGTCGACGCGATCCTTCATATCGCCTCGCCTGTGACGCTAGCGGTCGTCGACCCCGACGAGGTCATCCAACCTGCTGTTCGCGGGACGACCTCTGTCCTGTCCGCGGCACTCCGCCCTGAGAATCGTGCGACCATCAAACGCGTCGTCATCATGTCTTCTTCCGCGGCCGTGTATGTCCCTCCCGACCCAGGGCACACGAACTTCACCCGAGTTCTAGATGAGCGCGACTGGAACACGTTCTCGTTGAAGGAGGTCGAGGAGAAGGGCAAAGACGCAAATGGGCTCGACAAGTACCGGGCGAGCAAGACGCTGGCGGAACGCAAGGCGTGGGAGATCTACGAAGCGGAGAAGACGAAGGGATTGGAGTGGGACCTGGTGACACTACAATCCCCATTTATCTTCGGGCCCATAGTCCACGAGGCTCCTTCTTTGGACAAGTTCGGGGGATCACCCAGGATCTGGTATGATAATGTCGTCGGGGGCAAGGCGAACGAGGACACGTTGACAAAGCTTGGGTACGTATACCACGTTCCCTCGATACTGCTGCTACTTGTTGTGACTGAGGCTGCAATCTGACCTTACTTGCAGATTCGACTTCGTCGACGTACGGGACCTTGCGCGGGCGCATGTTCTAAGTCTCACGGTCCCTGAGGCCGCGGGACAGCGATTCATCATCCGGGCCAGCGAGTTCGTGTACCAACAGTTTGGTAAGTTCGCCTTACTGCCATGCCTCTCCAGAAGCCTAATATGATATCCACGATGTCACCAGTCGATGCGGCTCGGAAATTCTCAGACAAAGTCCCCGTGGGATATCCGTCGTATAACCTGGCGGATGCGACGTTTTACGCGCGATACTCCAACGAGAAGAGTAAGAAAGTGCTTGGTCTGCAGTACCGTAGTTTGGAGGAGACGACAAAGGACACTATTGTTGACTTCGAGAGTCGAGGATGGCTGTAGCGCGGACGGTTTGTATTAGTTGCAATGCTGCAGTCAATATGAACGTCTTGAGGTTGAGTTATGCAGCCCGTCCCTTCCTTGATCAATCACACGCATTGAGGTATTTTCACACATACCATAGGCTCATAAACCATTGACCATCCCCAGCTATTCCCAAAGGCGAAGAAAGAATGTAAGACTCGTCTCTAGTAACGCAATTTATGCAATGGAGTCCATCGACACAGGCTGTATGGAATCTCGCTTTGCCCACCATGATCGTTGGCATGATGGTCTTCGACTTGTGGCAATTCAAAGATCGAGTAGTGTCTCTTCTCTAAGAGTCACTCATAACACTCGATAGGCAGGTTCCAGTGTTTCGAGATAGTAGAACAAGGCCGGTCGCCGTCTTACACTCCCTCAACATGGGTGCAGCTGTCTTACAGTGCAGTCTACTCCCCTTGAGCTAGCAGTAGGGGGTGCCGATTTATTCGCGCAGTCGACTCGGTATATAATAATCTTCGCCACATGTAATCGGTATCGTCTCCGATTCAAGGATGATAAACAGATTGCTAACCACTTTTTGTTGCAGAGAATGACGATACAGTGGATGGAGTCATCAGAAATCTGACCTTGTGTATTCTCTTACCACCGCCTGTGTGTGATAGCAAGGGTTCGTGGTAGTCCGTCCCTGACGTTTGGAAGCAGTATTTTCTTCCCTGAGGACGCATGCACTCAGTCGAAGTCGGCTATTGGCACCAATCCTCGCTGTGCCTATCATCCCATTCGCGACCGACCTGGTTCCTGTACAACTGGAGACGCAGTGTAATTCGCATTCCCATTGAGCGCATACTACCCTTCAGTGAGTGAGCCTATCACGCCATGGCCTCCAGGGCGGATCATAGTCCATATGGATGTCTGAGTCATCGCAGCAATGTACCTTCGTCGATCGCGATACTCTTCGGGTGCGTTTATATTGAGAGGGATCGTTCTTCATCTTTGTCGTGCAGTTGGAGTGGCAACTGGAATCATTATCGATAATTTCCTCACCTTTGTCACCTGGCCATTTCGCGGAAAACGGTTCGAAACTTCATCTCCCGAGAGAAATTGGACCGGACGTGCACTTATATGACGGTACGTCGTCAACGCTCTTTGATGGACTGCTGTTTGCACATCTCTTGAACATGTTGCCACTCTAGGAATGATTTACCTCGTATGGATAATCAAGCCATTACCTACATCGTGATCAACGCGAATTGACTTCATGAATGTACTCAACATCAAACACACTAGAGTTCACTTTTCCCCGGAGCCTCGGTAAGTAAGCGAAAGGCACAGCTCGATGAGTGACATAGTGCGCTGTACTCTCGCCGGTTGGCAATCCACGCAACTCACACCGGGCCAACTAAGCTGAACAGAAATCGCGATCTCTTTGTACGTCGATCATCCGTGCAGCCGAACGCGATCTCCCTCACAGCTTGCAGGCCCCGCTTAAGTATATGCATACCAAATGCAACTGCAGTCGGCACAAACCTACCACACAGAACGTGAGCGCTGACGCGGACGCCGCGCCTGTGTACGGTCTCGCTGCGGATAGGATAGACCCCCACTGGCAGCTCGCACAACTTCCAGGGACCCACTTGACACGGGCACATCGATCGGGGATCTGTGTCTACGGAACGCGTTGAATCTCAATTGTCAGTGGGTATGAGTGTGTGGGCAGATGAACAGGAACAGGAAACATGTCTATGAGGCTGTCATCTCTACAAAAATTAGCCGGCGCCTACCAATACCACCCTCAGGCAACCACCCACCCTGTAAAACCCTGAGATCTACAGACGGTCGTCCCATCCCACCGCAATGCCAGCTAGCTCTAAGCCAATGTACGGCAATAACTCACAATCGCTCATCCCCAACTCCCCTCAGCCCATTCTACCCGACTCCGGGATGCTAAAAGCCTGCCTCCTGCCCGAGGCTCCCGTAGGCGACAGCCAAGCTGCTCTAACTCTCAAGCTCTCAAGATGAGTTCTTGCTGCCCTTGGGCTGCTTCCCGGGAACGAAGATCCACCAGATCGCGATGAGCACGCGCAGCCCGGTGCCGACCCCAAGAGTGGTCGCAGCGCCCGCGGCGTCGATGATTGCCCGGCCGACGAAACCGCCCAGGAAGAGCGCGATGATCGCAATGAACTTGTGGTCGCGGGTAATGACGAAGCGGTTGAGCTGGAAGAGCTTCGGGTCCGCCATGAGCTCGCACCAAACGGTGGTGAGGACGACTGAGCGAGTACGGGGGGTCAGTATCTGCGTTACAAGGGGCAGCTGGTGACCGTGAATAGACAAGCTGGTGTCCACGGGAAGGGGAGAAGGGGGATCGGAGGACGGAACGGAGATGCGCGGCAGGCCATAGAGGGAGCTGCTCACCAGTGGTCGTGAACTGCGTGTTCACCCTCTTGCCCATGATCCCCTGTAGGCCCATGCTCGCGCTCATGAACCCAATCGCGACGAACGTGTCCGCGTTCGTCCACGCCGGGTTCCCTCTGACCTCCGCGACGCTCCCCTGCCCGCTCTTCCACGCCGTCAGCGCCGCGGCCATCGTGAACAGCGCCTGAATGAGCGTGCCCAGGAAGAGCCATGCGCGTGTCTGCGCGCCCATCCGGTCTCCGATCCGCCCGATGGTCGCCCCGGCGATGAACGTGAGCAGGGACGTGAGCGCCTGCTTGTCGGCGATGTGGAAGGAGGTGTCGCGCTGCCCGGGCGGGCCGGAGAAGAGGCGGGCGAGGGCGAGGGCGAGCTGGACGGAGTTGCCGGTCTGGAAGCCGCACCAGACGAAGACGGCGGTGAAAGATACCGAGTCGCTGTGGGGCACGCGTTAGCGGGCCAAAGTCGGGGAAAGACAGGAAGTCAGGGGTGTTGTGGAGCTGCGCGGATGCCGCACACTAGCGCAGCGCAATGCAGCACTGAGGTCAACATGACAACGGCGCAATTCTGCTTGAGCGAGTTCCAAACAAAGTGCGCTCCTGGTGACAATGACAAGAAGCAAAGCAGAAGGGCAAGGCACAGAATGTGTGGCATTGGAAGAGAAGAATCGAAGCCGAGCGGAAGAACGTACATGAACCCAGTCATGAAGCAGTACGCTGCAAGCGGGAATGACGATTGCGCCGGGTCGACATTGCCCATCCAATGGCGATACGAGAAGACCTCACGAGGGTTCGCAAAGAGTTGTGCGGTGTGGAGAATAGTGCCGGGCGAATCCTGCTGTACAGCGGGCTGGGGTAGGGCAGGGCCATCCTTCTCCGCGCGTAGCTCGTGGCTCATGTTAGCAGGCTAGCCGTATGATCGTCTTCGAAAATGGAGAACAAGCAGCCTGATGGATGTGCTAGCAGGCCCCGAGGGCGATGGGAAGAGCAGGAGACCGAGGGGAAGCGGGTGGGGCGGGGTATGGTTTTTGAAGGAGATGGCATTGTGCAATTGGTGGGACTTGGCAGGACTCGGAGTCGCGGTCGGCGAGCCGCACGGGAGCTCTCGGCACTGCCACTCTATCTCCGCTCCGACGTTCATCCAACCAGTCCAGCTATCCACTTACCTTTCGACCGCTTGGCTCCCAAGAAGACTGTCATTCTGTTCCCTCCATGATTCGCGGAGATATACAAGCGACAAGAGATGCCTCAGCAGTGCGGCTTGGCTTCCCACCTTGACTGGCGTAGCTCGTGGGAAGCGCCTTATATCGTCCATCCCAGCGCTCGACGTCAAAAACAATTTCCAGCTTGCTTGCGCCATCGTTGTCACACGTTCGACGTCCAGCAGGCAGACGTCGATACCTAGCGCGGACCAAGTCTTGATTGACTTTGACTAGTGTCGCCTGACGGTGTACTCTTCGCATTGACCACGATTGGCCAGCTGGAGCCTGGCTGCCCACCGCCTGGGCCTTCCTTGCCTTGCATGACGGTCCTCACGAAGAGCCATCTCATCTCAGGAACCTTGACGTGCTGTGGTGCTACAGAAATCAAGGTGTTACTGAAGATAGCAATAAAGTTACAGTTTGTACAATTGTCTCTCTGATGTACGTGCATCGGAGGGAGCAGCGAATGGATCTGTTCAATACAGAAAAGTATACAAGCCTGCCTTGAATATGGTCCTATGCCGTTGTCCATGAATACGATTCCAACGTCTATGTCCGTATGAGCACCAAATCAGTAGTGTCCCATGCTCCGTCGGCTCGTCCCATGCCCCAGTAGACCCGAGGCGGTTATCGAGTGCGCTTACCCTTCGGCCTGCCTAGCGTGAGCCAAGCGGATTCAAACACCATTCTCCTCCACACAGCACTCCTGTCCTGCAAGAGTACCATCCGCAGAGACCATAGTGCTCAGCTCAGCAAACTCCGGGTGAGCTATCATGCCCATAGAGGTGAACCTTAGCGACGACGTGCTTAGACTGCGGTCGGAATACAGGGGATCTTCGCTTCCGAGCTTTACTGCTCTGCGGCTCGCCTCTTGGAGGTCGAGCAGGAAATGCGAGATCAGAACCGACGCTATCCTTCATGAGCGTATCGAGGACGATGGTTGTAAGTAGTCTCGTCGGCATAACAAAGACACCGAGAAAGAACGCACGGCGAGGTGAAGACGCTTGCGAAAAGACAGACCCCGAGCAAGGTGCTGCGGTGGATTACAATCATGATTTGGGACTCCTTAGAGACCGATGAGCATGGCCGACTGGAGACGAACAGGAGACCATGAGCCGCTCACGGAGTAGATAGCAATGCACATCTCAATTAAATTGAGGAGCATAAGGGCGCTGCTCGTAGGCAAAAGTCAGCCTCTGCATGAGCTTCGTTGCGAGGAGGCTAGCGCGCACATGAAGTAAGTCATCCCTGTGGTACGGTAAGTTGGAAGCCGCTGTGGACACTATATTCGGTACTCACCGTCTCGAAAAATCGCGCTTGACACACCTCCATAACGCCTGGTCAAGACAGCTCGGCATCCCCTGGTGCCTGTTGCTCGCCATGTGATGACAATGAGAACGATGTCGGCCACTACGAGACACATGCGGGTGACTGCTATCACTAAAATCCACCGAGTTAGGCCTACCATCACCGGTGGATAGCCAGTTCAGAAACCCACGTCTGTAATGTGAGCGCAGATCAGCTTCGAACATGGCTACAGATGGAGAACGGGCTCACGATATCCCACCACCGGAAGCGCCTATACCACCCTGCGGTAGACATCCGAGCTGGGAATAAGTCACAATCCCCGAATTTGAAGCACTCTCAGCCTGGTCATTCGTAAGGATATGCTGAAAAGACGCGACCACTGTGGGTCGTACACTCACAATAGCATTCCCAACCGGTGCTAGATAGAGCACGAAAACGAGAATCGAGATGACTCTATGCTGGCTCAGCGCGTGAGCCCGTAGAGCGGAAAAGCCTGACGGGATGTGAGCTATATGACTCTGACTTGTCAGGAAGCAGGGGGAAAGAGTTCACTGACTTGCCCATGAAAGACCTTGTACAAGCGTAGTGACCAAGCTCAATTTCGCAATCGCGTCGCAACTACTTCGATGCGTCACCAATTCCGTTACACAGTGCTTGGCATCTGGTAAGACGTACCTCTGAGACAACTTCGTTAGAGTATTGGAGACTGCGGAATGCGAGTATCGCTCACCTTTAATGAATAACTCGAAAAGGCCACAACCACGGATATGCTATTGAGTGCTATCGACCACCGGACCGCATGGTACAAGCATGCTGCTAGCGTGGGTGGTACCTTCCAAAACACCCTTGCTTCGCGTGGAAGCGATAGGCACCAGTCGTAGAGAGTGAAAGCTAAGTAAACCAACTTAGCAGCTTATTGGCACCAGTGACCGATGATGGCCTTACCGCAGGCTGCAGCTTGACAATATCTGGCTATCTGGCTAACGCATTTGCCGAATGAGCAGTAGATTGGAAAGAGGCAAGGTGCGACACACTATACGTCGTCCGCCGCGAACAGTTCGCTCAGTAAACTAGTGAGTGCGGACATGATGCAAGGCTTGAATTAGGGGAACAGCGGATAGAAACAGCGAACAGAAAGGAGAGGGAGCAGCTGAAGCGACAGTGTGCTCTGTGTCTGCGGTTTATGAGGTGTGTGTGTCCTCCGGGGAGACGGCTAGGTGGAAGCCGATCCTGGAAGCAGAAGCTCCACATACCATTCTTCTTGCCAAGTCGGATGCTGGTCGAGAGGTGGCACCGACAGTCGCTATACGCACGATCCTATCTTGATGCCCTTCAAACCAATATTGGCTCACAACTGCACCGGAACCTCCTGACACAATCGTTGGAATGCGATCTGTGACTGCCCACCAAGGTCAGTGCTGCTGTCGCCGGTGCAAGCAAGGATCAGAGCTCCCTTGAACAGCCTGCCTACTGCTCCGCCACGTTCCGACCGAGCACGGAGGCGCATGGCGGTCGAGCGACGAAGAAGTACTGGTGCCATGGAGGCAAGAAGACTGTAATCGGCCGTGAATCAAGTCTGACAACCAGAGAACCATGCAAATCGACTTACAGTTTGGACAGATAAGCCTTGAGTTTCTGCCCTCACGCATGGGTGCATCTCTAGATGGGTTTTCAGTACCATCGACGTGCGACTCCCGCCGGCCTACCGGGACGCCTTGGTGCTCTTCTCCCGGAGCGCTAGGATAGTGTCTCGCCCGGAAGCATCCTCCGGCCTTCATTGAACTTAGATATCGAACTTACAGTGTGATTGGCACCGATCAACAGCCTCAGCCTCCTCAGCCTCCTCAGCCTCGCAGCGAATATCTTCGCCCAATCCTCCGTACACAGCTAACACCGTCGGTCGTTCTTCCCACCATCCCTTCACAGGGAGGGGCAGCTCTTCTAGGCACATGAAACGTACATCACGTCTTGGGTGGCAGTTTCGCAGGAAATCGCAGTGGGGAAAGAAGTTCAAGAGTCGGCTATGATGCTCCCACGTGGACGACATCTGGTACGTGAGACGCCTGTCTCTTTCTGCGCCTTTTTGTGCCTCATCACTGTTCAAAGGCATCTCAGAGTACTAGTGCTGTTTCTCTGTGGGTTCACCCGACTCTTGCATGATCTCTGACCAAGACGGGACTACGGCTATCTTGTGCCGCGCAGTCCTACCTGCGTATGACATGAATCAATGTTCCCGGACAAGGCACCCGCAATAAGTAGGTGAGTGAAGAAGTTCAAGGGCAAGCGGGCACAAATGGGATTCGCGTTTGGCCGGTGCAAACGCGTGCCGTACACAGTAGATACAATAAGGCTTATATACGTAGCTAAATAGGGGTAGATAAGGGCGCGGGTATCCGTCGGGGGGCGGGACCTGTGGCGCTCGTTCCGCGAGCTCGCCATCTTGACGCCAGGATTCCAACAGTGAGTGTTTTAATTGATGCTGAAAACCTGGTGTGGCAGACGACATCAGCCCAAGGCGGCCATGCGTGTTCACATACGACACTCGGGCTTCATACTGCGTGAGGTTATGGAACAGAACAGGCGTTATGCATCTCCTATCAAAGTGTTGGATCCCCTTCAGAGGACATTCCCTGTACGCGAGCTAGCAGCTTCCTTGCCAACGCTCCAGCGTCGCCCGCCGTGTAGAGGCTGGTGGTTTGCAGCAGAGGCTCGAGCTGATGGTGAAGTAGCCGGCTGTATATCGCCTTCGCCACTTCGTCGTCGTCGTCGCTAATCTGCGCCATCATGTCCAACGCAGCTTCCATCAACACAACTGGAAGGACGACTATCGACGTCTCTGGCATCTCGTTGCGTTCGCATCCTTCGCAGTGAACCTCGTGCTCTCCATTCTGGGACCTGACCCAGGTGCGGAGGATCAGGATGAAGCCCACCGCTATGGCATCCGGGGTTACCCCGTCAAAGCGGAAATGACGCACTGGATTGTCGTCCTGCAACAGGTCAGTCGTCGAGTAGAAGTGTAGCTGCGCAATGCTACTGAGAGCACCCCAAGCGTGAAGACGAGTCTTTGTAGGGACATTGTCGGAGCCCGTCTTTCTCTTCGAGAGCACCCGGAGGTACTGTGTCGTCGCCTCCACAATACGCGGACGCGGTGACTGGCTAGGCCTATCGAAGAAGGCTAGGTATCCGGAGATCCCAATGAGCTCGATCAGAAGGTCCTGCATCTCCAGATACAAATGTTGCCCGTCCTTGACTTGTTCAGTGACTTTTCGTAGGAAAGAGGCGTACGTCTGCCTGAGCGCGGTTGCCATATGGTGCGATGGGTGACGACTATCGTTCCTGCGGATGTATGTCCCCGTTCGCGGAGTCCCTCCACTATAGAGAGACGCATAGATATAATGTACTGCTGGAACAAGCAGATTGACATGAACGGAAGGGCGCTGGGAGTCGAGGAATGCGTCCAACATCTTGTGCGATCTGACAGCTCCAACGACCATCTGTGTGGTCTCGCCATCCCAACCCCCGACCTCGCGTATATCTGCGTGCGGTCGTAGACCATAAGTGAAGACATCCCCGATGATCAGACAGAAGGAGTCAATGGTGAACGCCCGCATAACAACGGGCGGATGACGCATTCGCGAGCCGTCGTGTTCAAGTTGCCGCGGGGATATTGACTGCACAGCGGACACGATGTCGGGACCTGTGGACTCGAAATCATCCCCGTCGGAAAACTCTGCGACCTTGGGCCCCTAGTAATCGAGCTTCCACTTGGGGTCATTCATGTACAGGTTCACGAAGCGGCAGGTTGCCCCATAGATCCAACGTCTAGTATAGACGCTAATCATCCAGTCTTCTTCCCTCGAGACCGCTGAACGTCGTGTGTCCGGACCAGGGCCCTCGTGTGAGCTCGCCATGGTCGATGACTCTGGCTCCGGCCTTTCCTTCGCTGTGACCAGATACTTGAAGATGCTAAAGATCGTTGCCGTGAGGGACACTTTCGCATCAAGGGAGGCGTTACGATCGAAGAACGACAAATAAGCTGGTATTCGAATCAGCGAAGGAAGAATGAGAGAAATACGGGGGGCAGCTGTCTCGCCAGAGCGAAGCCTCCTGAGTAAGTCGGCCAAGAACGCACAATAGCACGAGTGCAGTGCTTCGCAGATGTCGCCGTGGCCATTCCACTTGACTTCAGCTCCGATATGGTAGAGCATACTGTCCACAGCCATGACGACTGTGTTGAGGACGTGTTCGTCTTGGTCCCAGTAGAGCATGTCTGTCAGGGAGCGAGATAGTTGGCGCATGCTCTCGGGCCCGAGACGAGGTATCAATGGTCGTGCAGTGACACCACTCGCCTGGGGAGTCAGAGTCCAAGCGAGAACCGACATGCCCCAACAGATTTGGCGGAGGACGACGCTATCCATGGGAGCTCGATTCATGGTATGAAGGAGGGACCACAGCCAGTAGCTCACAGTGCGATTGGAATCCGAGGGTGAAGAGGGGCGCAGGGGGTATGCAGCCTCGCACAGTGTGAGGTAGATAACTGTATTCACGGCGGGAATGAGCCCGGCACTATGTCCGTCATCTACAGTGACATTCTGGACGCGGAACACAAAGTCGTCGAAGACCTTGTGTTTATCGAACCTCGCCCAAAGCACTGCAGACTCTTCTTCACCCAGCTGTACGGACAATCGCAGAGTGAAGGCTTGGAGGGATAAGGGAAGTACTCGTATCCTCGTGAGGAGATGAGCAACAAGTTGAAGCGAACGAGGTGACAGTAGCTGCTGCACCGTCTGCTGGGGGCGCTGGACAAGAAGGAACGGGGTTCGATCTGTAAGGGTACCATCCGGGACAGTCGGCTCTATGTATTCCAGTCCGTCCATCTCCGCTTCCGTGAGCAGCATCCCAAGGGTACGGATGGTGGCGACTACATTGCGGCGATGCGTGCTCCCAAGTTCGCTCCAGGGTGCATCAAACCATTTATGGAGAAGGCGCTCGATGAAAGGTAGAGCCCCTTCTTGCATGAACAGCTGCCGATGGCGAACGAGGTGAGGGAAACGCATAAGAGCGTATCCGAGTTGCTCCGGACTAGCCAAGCGGCTAACGTGGTGAACCATCCACACAAGAACTCGGCTGTCAACAAGACTAGTGTTCTGCGAGATGTATTGCTCGTCTTGGTAACGGAGAGACGAAATTCGCATGGTATTGTACCGGGATGCTCGGGAAACGACATGGTCCACGTCGTCACGGAGGTCGGAAATGGCTCTCTTGACAGTGCTGCGATCGAAGACGCGTCCCGCAAGTTAGGACTTAAGCACGCTAGCCACAATGGTGCTGGTCGCGATCCAGGCCAACTTCGGGTGTAGCACATGCCTGGAATACGTCACCCTGGAAAGCTCATGAAGCACGGCTATGAAAACCGTGACTGAGGTCTTGAATGGACATTCCGGATAAATGTACGAGAGCACATTGGTGGCGACATAGACCATAAAGGTCGCGATCACGAGCGCGGAAGCGACCGCCCCAACGTTGCCGTCCAACGCCCAGATGAAGTCGACAAGACCAGCGAAGAAGAGCAATAGAGCGATATGAAGTAGGATGGGAAGGAGCAACAGAACAGCAGGAAGCTTCCACTTCTGCAAGCCATCGATTCGGTATTGTCGATGCCTTCCTCCTTTCGACGGAACAGGAGATAGGCCGGCAAGTAGGTAATGCACCCATTGCTTCGCTAGTATCATCAAGAGGGTCGTGGACAAGCTGATAATGAGGCTTGAGAACCAGTAGATATTAACGCGAACGGCGGACGCGGTCAGCCGAAAGGGTGGCACTGGAGTTGTAATGTCGGCGGACGATGCAGCGTCGTTTCGTTGAAGTTGCGCCAGAATAGCTCGCAACATCTCGACTTGGGGTTCTGGCTGTAGATTCTTGTAGGTTTCGACGACTAAGGTGGTCAAGACGGCTGAGAACAACGCAGCCTACAATAACAATTGAGTTCCTGCATTATGGACTGGTTCATAACGTGGGAGATCACTCACGAAAATGAGGATAGAGTCCAGGTCAGAGTCCCATGCCTGAATAGTCTCCTTGTCTTGTGCCAACGCGTGCTGGAGGTACAAGGGCCAGATGTCGACATCCGGAACGTTAGCGAATGGATCGTACCGTGGCGCATCCGTTACATTGGGCTAAGGGTATGTCAGATGAGAATACCAAGGGCATCACTCTGCTCACCTCCGCCTTCCCTGATGGCTCGTTCCCCGTTGTTTTCTTGGCATCCGACCTATCCGACTGCGTCATCGTCAACTAGTGACCATGAGCTCGATCAACACTATCCGGCGTACCTGATTCCGCTGTGTCGTCGCTGAAGTGCGAGCTTGACCTATATTATCTGCTGGTACTGCACTGTGGCCCTCGACAATATTTGTTCGTTCGAAGGCAACCGTTCTCTTCGTCGAACGTCTTTCCCCTCCGCCTATGATCAGCGCTGATCTCAGGGCGATGGGTTTAGAAGATTGGTCCATTCGATCCACGGGTAGAGCGTGCGGAGCTGATTGAGGGCTGCTCTTGCCAGAAGGACCCATCTCTGGTTGGTTACCTAACTCATTCTCTCCGCGAGGACCTGTGTAAGGGGAAGCTGGCATGGAACTCTGAGTTGTACTCGCTGGTCCGCCTGCTCTGACGGGATCAAGGGAAGGAAAGCCGGACAAAGAAGTACCTTGGCGCGAGGCCGCCGGATGCATCCCGGGAGATCCATCTGCACATCGTGATGAGCGCAATGCTCGACGTGGTATGAAGGGCTATTGCGGCGACTCACCGATAGACGATTGCAAGCCGTCAAAACCTCTCGACAATCCCCCGTTATTGTCAATGAACTTACCTTGTGTGAGGGGCGAATCCGTCAAGCGCGCCGGATAAAACTCGCGTGCCACTTCAATGCTGGTGTTCGATGGCTGGGGAGAGGGGAAGAACGGTACGAACTTGATCCTGACAGGCTGCGATTTGTCCTCGGGACCTTGATCCGGGGAGAATATATACCCGATGGCCTTATCGAACGGATTGTCAGGAGAGAAGAGCAACGAGGCAGCCGGATTCGAGGGCTCGGGACCTTCGGGAACTTCAACAGAGGGGTCCCGGGGCACGGAGTGGACTTCGACGCTAGGGGCTCGTAGCCAACTGAGGCCGATGTTGCTCCCCTGACTGCCTTCCTGCTGCATGATATGATTATCTCCCAAGCCCGAGTCTTGCTCTGTCATCGTTCCTTGACTGGCGACCAAGACGCTCCCGTCCCTGTTGGTGACAACAGTGTTAGAAGGAGGAGGAGAAGCCTATGCACAGACGCAGTTGGATTCCTCGTTATGTTCTGAAACGGCGCCCGAGGAGTACGCACCATCACAACAACTGGGAATATCTCTGTCGATACAGGGGGTCCTGAATGGTTTCAATAGTTGTCTTGTATGAACGGCAGAGCGCCCGAGATAGACACATTTCCCATGAAACATTTGCCTAGAAGCCTTAGAAGCTCATCAGCTATTCTACAGGAAACTTATGCCTGCACGAACCTCAGCTGACCAAACATCTTGCGACCACGTTGCTGCCCCGAGGTGCGAATGGCGTCGGAGGTCTGAATCGATTGTGGGCGTCCCTGTGAAGCTATCTGGAGACGATCAAGGCGGTCAGCAATTGTACGATGAATGGCGAAAGTCCAAGGCTGGTGTCCGACAATGACAATCTAGCGTCGAAACTGAGACAACATTCGAAGGTAAAGAGATCTATAGTGGCATTATATTTCACAAACTAATCAAACGCTAGTACAACGAGAGCCGGTAGTGAGCGATGAATGGGTGGCGATGGTCGTTTGGTATGTCGTATGTAATCGTCGTATCAGATGAATCGAGGAATGAGCACTTCTTTCCCCTCTCTAGTATCCCCCACAACAATCAATCCGCTGGAAGCACAACAACCAACAAGCACGGAAAAGCAGACAACGTCGGGACGTCTACGCCATCTTGCCGAGCACGCGCGGCTGCGACACGTCCGCCATGTTGATGAAGATGTCGTCCGCGGGGTGGCGGTAGAGCGGCGCGCGGAGACGCTTCTGGTCGAGGTGGTGGCCGATGAAGCCGATGCTGCGCCCAAGGACGAAGAGGCCGTTAAGAGTGCCAATCTTGATGTACTCATCCGCCTCCTCCGGGGTGAATGCGCCCGAGTCGCGGAGAAGGTCGACGAAGGAGACAGCGATGCATCCGTCGACGTTGAGAATGAGCGTGTCCTTCTTGGACGTCGTAACCTTCTCGACCGCGAGCGCGTAGTCGAGCAGGCTGTGGCTCGGGAAGTGCTTGCGCACATACTCCTTGACGAGCTCCACTCGGAGATCGGGGTTGTTGACGCTCTTGATCTTGTGGCCAATACCACTGACTTTGGGTACATAGTCAGCCCACAGTACATGGTACGGATAAGGAAAAGTAGACATACTGAGCTTGTTCTGCTTCCTGCAGGTGTCGACGAACTCGCGAGGGGTAAGACCGGTGTCACGAGCATTCGAGAACATGCTCGCAGCCTCGTCAAGCGCACCACCGAAGCGGGACCCGATCGTGAGGAGACCAGACGCAAGCGAGGAGATGAGGTCCTTGCCCGCACGAGTCGCGACAATCGTGTTCATAGCGCTGAGATCGAGCAATGACCGTCAGCCCCGAAATCTAGACACATACAGAGAAGAAACACCATACCCAGACACCGCCGGGCCATGGTCAGCAGTAAGCATGAGCACCATCTCGATGAACTTGGTCGCCCACGACGGCAGCCGGCGCTTGAACCAGAGCAAGCTGACGACGCCCCCAACGCCGATGTCCTCCTTGAACACGTCCGAGATGCGCATGCCCGCATACAACAGCTCCTGCCCGCGCTCGTCCGAGATCGTCGAGATGAACGCGGCAGGCTTGCGGATGAGGCCGAGCTCCTGCGCCCACTTGTAGTCCATCGGGATCACAGGCGGCTCGCGCTCCGGCTGGGGCTTGATCGTCCCGCCCGCGACGAGGCGCTCGTACGTCTGCTTGAGCACCTCGGGCAGGTCCTCAAACGTGTCGGGCACGATGAAGCCCGCAGCGCGCATGGCCGTGTTCTTCGCGTCCGCGGTCTCGATGTCCGAGTTCGCGAGCGAGCCGGCGTGGCCGAACTGCACCTCGGTCGTGAACATCTTGGCGCAGGTGCCGATCGCCCAGGCGATGATGGGCTTCTTGATGATGCCCTTCTTGACGGCCTCGATAACGCGGTACTCCTCGATACCACCGACCTCACCGAGGAGAACGAGGAGCTTGCACTCGGGGTCCTGCTCGTAGCGAAGCAAGTGATCGATAAAGGTCGAGCCGGGGTAGCGGTCACCGCCGATGGCGATACCCTCGTAGGTACCATTGGTAGTGAGGGAGAGGATGTTGTTGAGCTCGTTCGACATACCACCAGACTTCGAGACGTAGCCAACGGAGCCAGGGCGGTAGAGCTTGGAGGCGATGATGTTGTCCATCATACTAGGCGGGCGGTCAGTATATGAAAGCTGCGAAAGGTGGAGGCAACAAGCTCACCCTCCAGAGTTACCGATCCTGAAGCAGCCAGGCTTGATGCCACCGACGGTCGCAGGACCGATGATGAGGACGCCCTTCTGCTTCGCAAGGTGGAGGATCTCGCGTGCGTGCCTCTCAGGGACTCCCTCAGCGATAAGCGCGATGCTCTTGATCTGGGGGAACTCGAAAATCTCGAGCGTACTCGAGTAGACGGAGCGCGACGAGGCGAAGTTGACGACGACGTCGACGTCGGGGTGCTTCTTGACCGCCTCTGCGACGCTGGTGTAGACGGGGAGGAGCGTCTCCTTGGTGCCCCAGTAGAACTTCTGGATGTGGTGGCCGCCGAAGGGGTAGATCATCGCCGCGACACTGGGCGTCTCGCGCCCACACGAGTAGTCGAAGTCGAGCATGCCCTGGATCGCACGAGGCTGGAGGCCATACACGAACGAGCGGGTCTGCGCATCGAAGGGGCGGTACGAGGGGCGGGAGTGGTGAACGCCAGTCTTCTTGTCGAAGTTGACAATCTGGTCCTGAGGCTGGGTGCGCTCGCCATCGGGGTGGATGGTGCCGACGGTGGGCTCAGGCTCGATGTCCTTGCCAGAGGCGGCACCCTTGGGGGAAGGCGGGCTGATAGGGGTGGGCGCGATGGAGTGGAGGTTCGACTGCTTGGTTGTCACACCCAGGGCAAGAGGAACGATCGCGGTGATGTGAGTATCAGGGCCGTAGACCTTGATGGGGACGCCGAGCGACTCGCCAAGGAGACGCATTGCCTTGAGACCCTCCTGGTAGTTGGGGCCACCACGACGGACGTAAATCTTGACCTTGTGCGCGATGAGGGGGGCCTTGAACTCCTTCAAGGCACGGATGATACCCTTGAAGGTGGCGGCGACGTTTGTGAAGTTGGCGATTCCACCACCAATGATGAGAATCTTGCCATCGGGGCGAGGAGTGCCACGGGTCAGGAGATCGACTAGACAAATGTGTCAGCCTATGCCGCGAGAGGTACGCAGAATGTGCACATACGAATGGTCTTAGCATACTCATAAGTCTGTCCCTCGGAGGGAGCACCGGAGTACTCGCCGTAGTTGGCGAGCTCATGAGCGAAGCCATGGGCAGCGATAGCATCGGAGTAGACGACCGAAGCGCCACCACCAGCAACCATGGTCCAAATACGACCCTCGGCGTTAAGGACGGTAAGCTTGAGCGATGCACCCGTCGAAGCATCGAGCTTCTGGATGTACGCCTCCTCCTTCGTAAGGTCGCGGCCAAAAGGCGCAGGCCAAACCTGGGCAAAAATCCGTCATTAAGCATACAGCCCAACCTTAATTCAATGTTTAGCATACCATGGGAGGGCCACGATCAGCAGAGACAGCCTTGCCCTTAGATGTGACCGCCTGGGAACCGGACTCGTAGACGGACAGATCACGGGCAATGGCCCACTTAGGTCCGCAGATCGATTCGGCAGTCTGGTCAAGCTTTGCAGCCATGTCGAGGTAGTGGATGGTGGGCTGGCCGCCGTTGACGCCATCGAGGACGACGAGGGGGTTGATCTCGAGGTACGCAAAGTGCAGGTCGACGTAGACAGAGTAAAGGCGGATGAGGAAGTCGACAAGAGTCTCCTTCTTGGCCGCAGGGACGTGTTTCAGAAGGGTGTCGGCGATTGTCTGACGCGACGGGAATGGCGCGTTGACGGGGAGGCTCAGCTTGAGAGCCTTAGCATCAACATCGCCGATATCGACACCACCCTCGTGGGTGAAGAGGATATAGTCGCCTTCGCGCTCGGAGTTTATGCAGACGTAATATTCGGCATCAGAGGGGTGAGGGAGGAAGGGCTCGACAATGAAGTTGTTGAGTGTGCCAGTCACGGACTCGACCTGCACCAGAAAACGTCAGTTCATCACCGATCCAAAAGGAAATGAGAAGAATATGGCGGCGCGGCAGATCTGGGATCGGAGGCGATATAACAGGCGTAGGAATGAGAACGGAACGCGGTCAGCCGCAATCACGTGTGTAGCCTGACGCGTTCTAAGCGACCTCGCGCAAGACGCGTTCTGAGACGCGTCGCGATGCACAGGGCAGTTTGGGGCCGACGTATGGTCACTCGAGACGAAGTATGTCACACTCGCAATCGATCGCGAAGATAGCGAGGAGCGCTGATAGGACGCGTGCAAGAGAATTGCGGAACAGATGTGCTCACCTTCTGCGGCTTGCCCGCGCGCTGCCGGATCCACTCCTTCGCCTCTTCCCAGTCCTTGTTGAGAGCGAGAAGACCGGCCTTTCCACGACGCTTGATCAGTTGGTCAGGTTTCGCGACAAGCTTCGTCGTGAAGACCCAGCTGGGCAGCTGGGTGTCGGGGGTGATCGCGTTGGTAGCGGAATCCCAGGAAATCTGAGCGACTTTGGGGGAAGGGTAGACGAACGGAGTCGCAACCTGGGCGTTGGAGTCGACCGCAGGAGCGCGCTCTAACCAGTACGCGAGGAGGAGCTTAGCATCATATTCACGAATGGCTGGAACGGCGCATATATTAGCACGCTAGATCGGCAGGACATCGCGTGGAAGCTACTGTACCTTTCGAAGACATTTTGGACGAGTCTGCACTGGAGGAGATGGGAAGATGGAGGGAGAGGGGAGAGGGCACAGGCGAGCGAAGCGGAAGTGGCCTGAGGGGTATTTAAGGGACGTTGGGCGGACGTCGAGGCCAGTCGCCTCACTTTCTGAAAATTCAAAGTGGGGGCATCGTGCATCAATAACCGCCCGCGTGCATCTCCTCTTCCCTTTCTAGCCCCCAAATTTCGCACGACCAGCACGACCATTCTATCCCTACTCTCTGTCCCATTGGCCCGCGCCGACAACGCTCGTACGACCGTAAACTACAGTACTAGCTATCATCTTGTTTCAGAACAATTCGCAGCAGGTCTCACCCGTAAGAGACGTCCCATCGTACGCGTCCCACAATCGTCCATACAAGACGCACCCTTGAGCCCGCAGCCATCTTCGATTCTAGCGTTCTCCGAATATTGAGTACCGAGGTCAACGATGCCGTTGTGTGAACTCAGCGTCATCAGGCCACGGCATCATTTCGTCATGAACCAGTCATTTCCCTTTCCCGAGTCCGAATTATTCTACAAGCCAGGTGCGCCCGTGTCTCACGTAGTTTTGTCGCTTATCGCCTCTTAGGACGAGTTTCTGTCGGTGCGGAGAACCAATATTCCAGAGGCATCTCTCGGTGTCGGCACTTCGTGAGTGCACACTACATACTCGTGGCGGGGCTCATGTAGTTTCTCCGTCGTCTACACTTATCATCACTTCCATCGAGCAGCCTGTTCGGCACATAACGCCCAGCGTGTCCCTAGCCGACCTTCAGTACGATGCCATGCCGTGCATGCATGTTGATCCGCCAATATAAAATGTCGCGTTTGCGCTGAAGACTGGCTGTCTGCTGACCTTGGAGTTCCTGAAATATGTCACCTTCTGACCTGGTACACGTTCGATCGTCATGCAGCACGGTTGGGCCTGGTACTTACAAGTATCCCTGGCATGCAAGGGTGGTCTTGCAGGCCGCCTGCTTCGACAATCGACAAAGCGCAACGCCGGGACCACCCTGCCTCCACTACACCACAGTCGTAGATGTCCGCAATGAAATGAACGGTGTGGAGCCGATTTACCATGACCGGCTCGCCGCAAGTGGAGGTCCTACTTATGTACAGCACGTTGTGTCTATGTCCACATGGCATTGGCGCTATAGCGTAGTGGTTATCACTTGGGATTCTGAATTTGTATTCCCAAAACCCAGGTTCGAGCCCTGCCAGCGCCTGTCGCAGGAGTTTAAGTAATATTTTTCACGCCGTATGTAGCCCTTGAGCAGTAGAATGTCAATATCTGATAGCTTTCTCACCTTACACGACGTACCATTAATGGCTTTCCTTGTCGTTGAGCTTACTCGTGCAGGTCTGCGATTATCTGGGTGAGCCGCGCTTGAGCCAAGTTCAGGATCGTGAGTGTATCACAGTCACAGACTCGCCCAAGAACTATTCTTTGCATAGTTTCTCATGACATAGCCGCCCCCAACCTACACGAGACAATACGGCAATACCGAGTCGGTCTCAAGTTCAAAGGTGGCATGTACCCTGGCACGTTGTTCTTTCCGTTGATGAATAGAGATGGCGAACTGGCAACTGTAGCCAGCCAAGACTACATAACTCAATAGCGATCTCTTGGGACCCTGCCAGTGAGCACGCCATTGGCACTGCATGCATATCAGAAACTTGAAAGGGCAAACAGGAGTGCTGGCAGGCGATGGTGAAGGTACTCACACTGTCCTTATCATGATCTTTACGGTAGCTAATATGGAATATCTCGCAATGGGCTCTGTAGGCCGCTATACATACGTCCGTGTGACATCAATCGCGACATCGGGGATAACACTTCGCTCTGAAATGGATCCTACTTGTACACGCCGACCCTTACTCAGCAAATGCATCCCCCTGTCGTTTTTATCCTGCGTGAGCGCGTGTTCTTCTACGACATTCTGACGTTTTCTTTTGGTATGTTCTCTTCGCGAATCCGACTCCACCCTCACGAAGTATAAAGGAGGGTCGCACAGGGCGAAGGGCCAGCAGACTCACAGCACACAGCTAACAGACATGCCGGCCATCACTTCGGGAAAGGTCCTCGTCACAGGTGCGAACGGCTACATCGCCGTCTGGATCGTCAAGTCCCTTCTCGAAGCCGGGTTCGCCGTGCGTGGCACCGTGCGTTCGGAGAGCAAGGCGGCCTACCTGCGCTCGTACTTCCAGTCGTCAGGGGACAAATTCGAGGCGGTCATCGTCCCGGACATCACCAAGGTCTGTCATGCTCCCTGCGTTCTCGTTGCGCGCTCTACTACTACATGATACTAACGCACAGTCTGTAGGACGACGCGTTCGCGGAGCACGTCACCGATGTCGACGCGATCGCGCACACCGCTTCGCCCTTCCACATGAATGCTGTCGAGCCCGATGAGATCATCAACCCCGCCGTCGCGGGCACCCTCTCCGTCCTCAAGGCCGCGGAGGCGCACGGCGCGCGCGTCAAACGCGTTGTCGTCCTCTCCTCTACCGCCGCGGTCACCCGCGTGGTCTCGGAGCCCACCCTTCTCGACGAGTCCTCTTGGAACGAGGATGCGATCGCGGCGGTCAAGGAGAAGGGGCGCGATGCGAGCGCGGCACAGAAGTATCAGGCGAGCAAGACGCTTGCGGAGCGCGGGGCGTGGCAGTGGTACGCGGAGCGCAAGGACAAGCTCCAGTGGGACTTGACGGCGCTGAACCCGCCGTTCGTGTTCGGGCCGAACATCCACGATGTCGACAAGCCGGAGAACCTGGGTGAGTCGGCGCGCCTGTGGTACAAGAGCGTCGTCGAGGGCGGGCTGAGCGACGACGCGCTCGCAAACACCGGGTAGGCTTCGCCTCCGTCTCTTTCAGTGCTATGAGGGTGACCGATCTCCCATAGTGCAAACTACGTCGACGTGCGAGATATTTCGCAGGCGCACACGCTGGCAATTCAGACGCCTGCGGCAGGCGGCGAACGCTTCATCATCTCTGCGGGTCCCTACAAATGGCAAGACTTCGGTGAGCGATTCCAGTCTCGATCACATCTCGGAGCATGAAGCTGACCTGCCATCCTTTCCCTAGTGTCTGCTGCTCATCGTTGGTCGGACAAGCTGCCTGCCGGTAACACATCATACGACCCCTCGAAAGCGGTGCATGTGCTTCGGTACGATAACCGTAAAGGCATTGCGACGCTCGACGTACGGTACCGTAGCATCGAGGAGGTTACTCGGGACTCGCTTGAGGACTTCAAGGCACGTGGCTGGCTGTAAGCCGGTTGGGTGCAAGCTGGTCGGGTGCTCTGTCTTATGTATGAATACTCCGCTCACGAGTGTGGCAGCAAGAGAATCGCTAATGGATTGTACAACACCTATATCTCCTGTTCGTCCAACAGAATCGCTGATAATACAGGGCGCATATCGGAAAATTGCCTTCAGCTCACTGCAAAATGCTGGTGAGGAATCCTTGTAGCGAACGCGTACTTTACATTCTATGTCTCAAAGCAATGTATACAAGCCAGTATCGGGCGATGGGCCCGGGGCGAGCGCAGCATTATTGCTCACTTGGAGTCTATAGTAGGAACGATCGTCCCGATCTCCACTAGCGACGACCTAATCCCTTTTAGGATCTAGGAAAAACCACATCACGAGTATCATCGCACCTCCGTACAGAGGGATGGGTACGAAGGCTGACAGATTCAGCCGTCTGCACCAAGACTTTCGGCCGAAGCCTCCGGGTGAGGGACACCGGTAAATCCAACCAAATATGGGAACGATAGCGCCCCTCGATCTGCAAGTCGGATTCTGTGGCGCCGGCGGCCCAGTGTCGTCGACGAATCGATGACGTGTGAGCTTGCGCTATCCCGGTATCAGGAGCGGATGTGTAGTGCAGGAAAGTGCTTTCCGAAGCCAAGGGACCAGGTGGGCGCCGCTGCTTCTCACAACCGGGCGTTGCGTGTTTAATGGTTTACCCAGCAGAGCTGACACACTGGTTCTCCGGCTTTCAAAGCGGCAACCGAATGCGGCCATAAAACTGTAGATGAATCTGTAGGATTTTGTCCGGTCGGGAATCGAGCTTACTGGAAAACTTATTCCCATTATCCGAACGGACTCACAGCTCATCGCCCATCAAAGAAAAAGCCTCCGATGCACGCGCACGATTTTCTTGTGCTTACTCTCCTGGATCCTTCCACCGGTTAGCGTGGCGTGGAAATGTTCACCACAGAAGCCGGATACCGGAAATGATGTTCGCGCCTTGACCAGCGGGTCCTAGAACCTCCGTCCCGAGTGCTTACCGTATGTCATATGGCACGCGGTGGAGTGGACAAAATCCATGGCCAAACGGTATAAGTACTGGCCAGCGCCGGGAAGGGACAGAAACATACCTTACAACCATCGCTCTAGAAGCATTCATCGCACACGACCTCTACACGTTCAAGTATGCCCGCTATCACCTCAGGGAAGATCTTGGTCACTGGAGCCAACGGGTACATCGCCGTTTGGATTGTCAAGTCCCTCCTCGAAGCTGGGTTTGCCGTGCGCGGCACTGTCCGCTCGGAGAGCAAGGCGACGTACCTCCGATCATACTTCAAGTCTTTCGGCGACAAGTTCGAAGTAGTCGTGGTCTCCGACATCACCAAGGTCCGTCTGCCTAGCAGCATGCTGCCCGTCTTCAATGTAGATTTGGTACTGACAATGCCCTCAATCTATTTCCTCAGGAGGACATGTTCGCCGAATGGGTCAAGGATGTCGATGCCATTGCGCACACCGCCTCGCCTTTCCACCTGAACTCCGTCGAACCCGACGAGATGATCGTCCCTGCCGTCCAGGGTACCCTGTCCGTTCTCAAGGCCGCAGAGGCGCACGGCCAGAACGTGAAGCGCATAGTCGTTCTTTCCTCCACAGCAGCGGTTCAACTTCCCGGTGACAAGCCCGGCTTCTTTGACGAGTCTGCATGGAATGAGGCGTCGGTTGCCGAGGTAAAGGAGAAGGGCCGTGACGCTTCGCCATCAGCGAAGTACTGTGCGAGCAAGACGCTCGCTGAGCGTGCGGCGTGGGATTGGTGGCTGGAGCGCAAGGATAAGGTCCCATTCGACTTGACGGTGTTGAACCCGCCGTTCGTCTTTGGACCGAACATTCATGATGTGAAGAAGCCGGAAGAGATGGGTACTTCAATGCTCATGTGGTACAACTACGTCGTCAAGGGCGCAGCGAGCAATGAGACTCTCGCAAACGATGGGTATGTACATACTTCTTCAAGTGCATAAGTAGTCCCTGACAATCGATCGACAGCGCGACGTTCGTCGACGTACGCGACATCGCAGAAGCCCATACACGCGCATTCAAGACGCCTGCCGCAGGTGGCCAACGCTTCATCATCTGCGCAGGTAGCTACAAGTATCAAGAATTCGGTGCGTCGCTAGTGTCCGTGGCTTGGGATAAAGACTCACCTCTAGTTCGGTACCAGTCTCTGCTGCTCACCGCTGGTCGAATAAGCTTCCGGCCGGAAACACCTCTTACGACCCCTCGAAAGCAGTATACATGATCTCACACGACAACCGCAAGGGCGTTGAGACCTTGGGAATGAAGTATCATACCATCGACGAGACGACACGGGATTCGCTCGAAGACTTCAAGGCGCGCGGCTGGCTGTAAGCTTGTCGTGACTTGGGTTGTTCTAGACACTCTGATAGCACTACATAGTACGGAAGATGACGATACGATTGAATGTACCATACATATAGAGACAATCACTTGCATGACTTATACCGAATGGAGGTCAGAGTTGACCATGAACCCCGTTCGCATCCTGCACTAGGAATGGAGTTCACGACCGTCACCTCGACGTTGAAATCAGTATAGACCGGGATTCTAGTGATGTGTTCAAAAAGGGACGATGTCTAGCCGCAAGACTTCCGACGTTCCATGACAATCTGAGATTCCGGCATTATCCGAGACTATCTCCGTGTAGATCGGGTTCAACTCTACCTCTCGAGCCAACTTCACCTCCCGAGTCTCTACTCTGTGATTACTGCTTGAGTGCGGCACAAAGTCGTAGGCATATCGCTCGAGTCTCTTGCCGAGTTTGTCGTTGCCGTATCCGGCCGACCAGGCCTACAAACGGTGCACATTACTTGTAGGTGCTTCAGCTGGCAATAAGGCCGTGACATGCTCATCCGGCCGTCTTTCATCCTTGCGTAGTAACCTCAATGGATGTGCCCATGTCTGTCGACATCTCTGGACATCCTCTAACACGGATGTTCAGCAGGCATCCCATCTACGACAACGTCTTCTCGCGCCTGAGCCCTCGCGAGCTCATTCGTATGTCTTCTGTGAATCGCGTCATTCATAGCGGCGTCCAAGACTTCAGCCTGAGAGCGTACAATGTGAATCGAAGACTCTCACGTTCTTTCGGTGATTCTTTCGCCTTCCGATCACTTATGGCCCGAACACACATGGTCATTTCTGGTTCTTTCGCACTGCAGCTGTTCGACCGTACGTATTACCCGGACTCCGACCTCGACCTATATGTCCATCCCGACCGGAGCATTGCTGAGGTCGGCCTATGGCTCGAAAAGGAAGGTTACACATACTTGCCCAGGGAATGGCAACGGCAGGTGTACAGGGACGAAGCGGAACGCATTCTCGCGAACATCGACCTCCCACCGGAGGCTGTCGAGAACGACGACGAGGCGGGCTTACTCTACAACATGAGGAGCGTGCGCGCTGTCTACAGCTTCGAGCGTAGTGTCGCGCCGAACGAGATCCTCAAAGTCCAGATTGTCGTCTCGCGCCTTTCGCCCCTTGCATCTATATTGGATTTCCACTCCAGTACGTCTCATTCTGCGAACTATGTGGCTGCAAGGCGAATGACACTCCTTAGCATGTGTGATGAATGTCATCACTTACAATGCCGCTTACTCACTGTACCCACACGCCACCTTCGCGCGTCGAGAAGCCCTGATCATCCACGAGGACTTTCATTCCACAAATTCCGAGAACGCTCTCGCCAAGTACTCCTCCCGTGGGTGGCGCATGCTCGCCAGGCGGTCCCCGCTCTTGGAATTCATCGCAACACCGGGTAATCCCCTGTACGCGCCCTGGTGGGCTATTGACCAAAGACGCTGGGTGTGCGACAGCCGCTCCTGGGTTATTCATTTCGATACGACCGGAGTTACTGCGCCGCCACCACCGTCTGTATCGAGTCCTCATCCCGGATGGGACCCTGTTGCCGAGTGCGGTTGGAAACTCGAGCTCCAATTCAGCGCCATTGCTGTCAAACATGTACCGATCAAGACGACCATCTTACGCTGGCGTTACACCGCTCCCGACGAACAATACATACGATGCATTGTCCCCTTCTTCTACAACCAAGGAAATCTGGAGCATCGGAAGGTTCCGGAAGGACAGTCCAGGGATAGCGTCAGAGATGCGTGGACGTGGTGCGTTAGTTGAGGGCTCTCTGCGTCTGACCAGCTGCTCAAGTCTTTCCTCAGGTGGGACTACATGCTGCCTTTGCTAAGGTTGCAGTATTGCAACGCATTTCCTGACTTGGGGAGTGACGGTCTGCGGGCTACAGAAGTTTAGCTGTTAGCTACGACTATCCACCTCTTTGTCTCATCCGAAGAACGTCCGACGCTACAGATGTGCGTAACAGTTGTTTCCGTTAGGATCGCCTTGATTAGTGCTGACCCCAGTACTGTCAATAGGCATCGACGAGCCCATCGTTGGATACTTAATTTGTGCCATGATTCCTGATGGGTCCGTTGTCTAGCCTAATAAGGCGATTGCCAATGAGTATATTCGGTGTATAGAACACTACGTCTACTTCTTGATTGTTGCATTTCCTCCCTGAACGGTGTGTGGAGCGATCAAGACGGCAGACAATCATCCTCGTGCTGTATGCCAATATGCAGATTCGCTCTGTCCACCTTAATTTGACTTCGGAAGACCTCTTCGTTTGTTGAGGGGGTAGCGTTCATCAGCTTCCAAGTCCCTCTTACCCGGAGCACGTACGGTAGACGCCCTCGGTACGCCCTTTCGTGTCTCCCACCATCTAAGTTCAGTCTGTACTGCCAGGCCATACCGCCTCCCTTCTCCCACTTGCCAATCATCTTCTATGCCCAACAAAGGGCAGTCAACAACTAAAAGGGGGTAGCATTCACACGCTGACGGTACCGGATCCCACGGCAAGCTCATGCGCGCACACTCACGCCACAGCGTGAAGTGCCAGATTTTGGCGGGAGGAGAACAAGCGGAGAATGAGCACATTGCCGCCACGTTCTCCCCACATTGCCGCCACATTCTCCAACAGAGGAGAATGTGCGTCTTTTCCACGAAGACTCCATAGATTGTCCAGACGTTGCCTGCACATTCTCTGCACATTCCCGAGTGTGGAGAATGCGCGATGGATACTACGTAGCACGGCTTATCTGACGTCACTTAGCAAACTTTAATCAATTTGTGAGCGCGTGCTCCCCGACCCATTCGCGAGCTCATGCGGGACCGCACATCCACCGCGCAGTAATCGCTTGGGCGTACAATTGCAGACAATACATATGTTCGCTATATAGACTTACGAAACAGATCTAGAGGGATGCGTGGCCTGTTGCGGTTGAAAGCTAGCGTGCGGTTGAAAGCTAGCGCGCGGCTTGTAGAGGGCCCTCCCTGCTGGCCGCGGGGTTCCTTGTGAGGAATCTCCATATGCATCTCCTTGAAATCGACGTGCAGAGAGAAACCCAAACCGCGTTGAGCCCAATATACATGTTGAACTTCAACCCAAGTCGCCCACATGCCGGGACAAGTGAGGGCTTGCAGGCTTGCGGAGAGTGTCACATGGTCAATGATCCAAGGTGCATGTTGACGATCGCAAGCTCATCAGTAAGTGGTCATTCAGCGCCCAAGATGGGGGAGAGCTTGAAGACATTCGGCAGGATGCAGTAGACGTAGCTGAGACATCTGGGAGGCGGCAGTTCCTCAGAAGCAGAGACC